ACGCTATCGGTATACGCTGGCGGGGCACCAGTGAGGAATGATAGCTGACGATGAAAGCAGGATAATTAGCCCACCATGACAAATATCCACTAGAATGAAACATAATGGTTTCCAAGGGGAACAGCGTGAGATAAAAAAGCTACAGCCAAGGGGTGCCAAAAAATATACCAAATTTTTTTGGCACCCCTTGGCTGTTGCTTTTGACGAGACGAGATGAGATGAGATGAATGAAGAAAATGGTATGGTAACCCCGCCTGCGCTAACGGGAAACGCTGGCGGAGCACCAGTGAAGGGTGATAGATGAGAATGAAAACAGGCCAGTTAGCCCATCATGATGAATTCAACAGGAATTAATAATGATAGTTTCCAGGGAGAACCGCGAGGAGATCGACCTGGTTGAGTATATTGCCAGCAATGGGATTCTCAGTCTCTATTACTAACACTCCCTTTCCCCCCTGCAACACGTGTTGAGGCCACTGCTTATGCAGCGGTTTACAGAAATTATAATTTCGTAACGCATGGAGGTAGTGTGTATGTGTTGCTAGCAATGGGTCAGTTACACTTCAGTATTAACAATCGTTTTCTCCCCACACAAGTGGATTACGTTTAACTGTTGTTATATTTAGAGGCAACCATACCATGCTTTGTGTTTGAGAAACATTAAAATGAATTTAAATTAATAAATTCTATTAAATGAATAAAAGATATTAATAAAACGAACAAATGATGACAATTGTGATTAAATTATTTAAATTAATAATAAAAATACACAGGGCGCCACCTGCCCTTTTCTATCTGTTCTCCCTTAACTAAAGGTTGTCTGTAAGAGATTGCCCTAGCGATAAGACCGCCTTTTGTAACTTTATGTGTATATTTCAATCTGTATTTATGTTACTGTATTTCATTTGAATTATTCACTTGTCATTGTATATTTTTATTTATGGTGCAATAAAGAGTGAAATAAATAATTAAAATAAAATAAAAAAATAACTTTATATATGCATAGGTGTGTAACTGTGCCTGTGCGTGTGCGTGTGTGTGCATGTGTGCGTGGGCGCGCGTGCACGTGTGTGTGACGAAGGTCGTAAACTTCCAGTTTTGTCCCATAAATTACAATGCGCTTTTTAAGATTTTCTCTGTACCTGGTAGCTGTCAATAATCCATGAATGTGTTTTTTTGCAAATGATAATTGCCTATCTTTTACATTAGTAAATCTAGTGATTTGATTGTAGATTCGTGTAAAGAAATATTAATTTAGGCATGTAGAATTAGCTACCAGCTGGGTACTGGCGCCTTAGAAAAGCCACATGTCTATTCTCAGACATATATGCTAAGCTTTTTTTACAAACTCAGGTGGGCACAGACAATTCTAGGGTAGGCACGATCCACTTGGTCCCGTCCTTAAAGGAGGAAGGGATTGTTAGTAGTTGGGACTAGAGGCCCATAGCGATGTCTGAATGTACATATACATACATATTTGGTTGTGTACGCAACGTTATATGTATTATTACGCTATACATCAGGGGTGGCCAAACGGTCGACGATTGTGGCAAGACAAAAAATATAATATTTTACTAATCTAGCGGAAGATGCTCAAACGCAATGCTCACACTAATATAAATATGTAGCTACTAAGAATAATTGTCAGTTTTATGTTTTCCCTCTTAATAAAATTAAAAAAATACTACATACATTTCAGATATTTGAGATTTCAAGAAGTATGCAGTTTATAGATCGCACAGCGTTTCGTCAGTAAACAGTAGATTTTGGGTCTAGTCAAGTCAGTTTTTGGTATACTTCTTTGTTATTTTAATTTATATGGTGAAAATAAAAAATAAATTTCAAATTTCAAAACTTCCGTTAAATCTTACTACCTCTCATTTTAGTACTATTTTCCTGTGTTCTCTCTTCGTTTTCCTTCGTCATTTTTTTTCTGTTGTATGTGTGCTGTTAAGTATGTGTATGTTATGTATATATTTAATTGTGTATATATTATATATGTATGTGTATGTATGTATGTATATATGTTTGTATATGATAATATTTATATAATAGTGCGCCACCTACCTTTTATCTTTTTCTCAATGTCCTCTACCCGAAGGTTGTCTGGAAGAGATTGCTTAGCGATAAGGCCGCCTTTTGTATCATTTCTCTATTGATATTTACTGTATTTGTTATTTCTCTTTTTACTTGGTGCAATAAAGTGTAAACAAATAAAAAAAAAAATAAATAAATGCCAGATTACTCGCATGACATATCATTTTAAATATATGCCAATGTAAACATTAATTTAAGAGGTCTCATAGAAGAAACACCACCTGTGTCACTACATTTAAGAGATAAGCAAACAAACTCACTTTTGTTTATATATATATTTTTTTACAACCTATGTTGTAAAAAAAAATAAATATATGCCACCTATGTGGCAAACGAGCATGCGGCTCACCTGATGGTAAGTGACTACCGCCGCCCATGATCACCAACAACACCAACGGCATTGCAGGTGTGCTGCCGGCCTTTTAAAAAGGAATATACTCTTTTCTTGAAGGTTATGTTGTCGTTTCGGTTCGGAAATACTGCTGCTGGAAGTTGATTTCGAAGAGTGGTTGTGCGTGGAAGAAAGTTAAGGATATAATATTATAAAAGGTGTAACGATTAGAATTGTTTTAAAAGGAAATAGTTCTTAGATGTTCGTTATGTATCTTTGCTTACATTTAATTTAGAGGCGTTATTTCCACCATCTTTTTGTAAATTTTATAGGAGGCATTAAGTAAGAATCAGAAAGTAAGAAAAGTTGAGCTGAGTACTCCCTGGAGACTACAGGATGAGGTTCTTTATTTTAAATAAAATATATTAATAATAATTATCATCGGCATCTCAGCCGTTATCTGTCCACTGCTGGACTTAGGCTTTCCCCATAGACTGCCATAAGGAACGGTCCTGAGCCACCCGCATCCACCGACTCCCTGCAATGCATTTGAGGTCGTCACTCCATCTATTGGGGAGTCGTTCTACACTGCATTTACCCGTACCAAGTTGCCATGAAAGAGTCTTTCTCCCTATCGGTTGTCGGTTCTTCGAGCTACGTGACCAGCCCATTGACACTTCAGCTTGCTTATACATCGGGCTATGTCGGTTACTTTGGTTCTTTTGCGGATATCCTCGTTTCGGATTCTATCACGCAAAGTGACTCCGAACATAGCCCTTTCCATAGGGGGGGAAAGGGATTGTTAGTAATGGAGACTGAGAATCCCATTGCTAGCAATATATCTAACCAGGTCGAACTCCTCGCGATTCCCCCTGGAAACTATCATGGTTTATTCCTGATGAATTCATCATGATGGGCTATCGGGCCTGTTTTCATTCTCATCTATCACCCTTCACTGGTGCTCCGCCAGCGTATCCCGTTAGCGCAGGCGGGGTTACCATACCATTTTCACCTATAAAAAAAAGCGCTCTCCATAGCCCGCTGATTAATTTGAAGCACATAAAAATATGCTCTATATTCATTTGTACAAGGTCGGTAATGCTATGTTACGTATGATACCCCTGTCATTGCAGGTATTCACAGATTGTAATCATTCACCATAGGGGGGAGAAGGGATTGTTAGTAATGGGGATTAGCAACCTCATTACTAACAATAAACCCTATTAGGTCGACCTCCACGCGGTTTCCCCTGGAAACCATCATGATTGATTCGTTGTTGAATTTGTCAGGATGGGCTAAGTGACCTGCTTCATTCTTACCTGTCATCCTGCACTGGTGCCCCGCCGGTGTATACCAATAGCGCAGGCGGGGTTGCCATTCCATTATCACCCATTAAAAAAAATCATTTACCATAAAAGAACCCTGTCGTTCCTTCCAATTCTTGTGATATATTTTTTACGAGACTTAGCTTAAACGAGCTAACGACCCATTCGATAGAAAGTGGTAACCGACGCCTATACACGGCATTACAGTATATACGTGACGTCCATTACGCATTTCGTGCGTTGCCAGTACTGAGAACCATGGTGTTACGTCTGCGTACCCTGTAATTTTACAATTTAATTTGATATAAAAAAGTGAAATTATTAATTTTTTTTTTACAGAAATATATTTAATAAGAGCGTTTTGTGAAAATTAATTATAGGTGGCGCCACGCATGCGCTGTAATATATAATGCAGGGCTCCATAACAAGGCTGATTTAATATTTGATCTGTATTGAACTACGATATAATATTAATGAGCCTGTAGCCTATAGGCCAACGGAGTGGGACTGTCTTGTAGAAAATTCGAACACATTTTGAGTCCTGTGACTTTTTTAAATAGTTGATAATGGAGTTTTATAATTTAATAATAATAGAATTATGTATTTTAATAAATTATTAATTTAATTAATAAATAATTAATTATATATTATAATTTAATAATAATAATAAAATATAATAAATTTTAATTTAATAATAACATACAATCAACGTAGTATACGTTGGGGGGGGGGAGGATTGTTAGTGATGTGGAGTACCAATCCCATTGCTAGCAATATACCCTGTCAGGTCGACCTCCACGTGGTAATTGCTGAATTCTAAGTGTATTTTTTTTATTGGATGAAAATGGAATGGTAACCCCGCCTGCGCTAACGGGATACGCTGGCGGGGCACCAGTGAAGGGTGATCGATGGAAAGTGGCCCATCTGATGGAAAGTGGTTTTGCCAGTACTTGCCACACTTGTCAGACGGATTGGCAAACGCAGTTAGGTTTTGGTGATGTTTTAAGAGGGACGTTAACTTGTTTTAAGATTACGTTATACAAAACAAACTTTAACCAAACAATAATACATTTTGTAATTATTAATATAATAATAGTATGAAATAATTTGTAAACCGTTGAGAATAAATGTACTTAAGTGGACAGCATTGTATATATAATAATGAGGATAGGACAAACTTTTGTTTCCAATTATACAAAATTACATATTAAGTTCGTAGCTACTATATATATACTCATAACTTCAGGTATAATGCTAAATGAGTGACAGTTCTTGAATATTATTTAAGAGAATCGGACTCATTATGAGTTTCAGCAATAAGGTGGTGATAGTAACAGGCGCCAGTTCCGGCATTGGAGCCGCCACAGCAGTGCTGTTCGCCAAAGAAGGTGCCCACGTGGTGATGGTGGGCAGGAACGAGAGCAAGCTGAGCACCGTCGCCGAGCAGTGCGCCAGTAATGGGCACACGCCGCTCGTCGTTAAAGCCGATGTCGCTAACGATGACGATGTCAAGAGAATTGTCGATGAAACTATTGAAAATTTTGGAAAAATAGATGTTGTGGTCAACAACGCTGGAATAGGACTTTTTGGTGGCACTCTAAGCGATTCGGCATTAAAAGTATACGACGAGGTAATGGCAGTAAATGTGCGTGCAGTTTATCTTCTCACCACGTTAACTGTGCCTCATTTGATTCAAACTAAGGGTAATATTGTGAACATATCCAGCATTGCAGGAAAGAAGCCTTTATCGAGAAACTATCTGTCATATGGCATTTCCAAAGCGGCATTAGATCATTTCACTCGTGGCGTTGCTCTGGAATTAGCATCTATGGGTGTAAGAGTGAATGAAGTCAGCCCGGGTCCGGTAAAAACGGACTTTTTGGATAACGCCGGCATGACTGGTGTATCTTGGGATAATATGGGATCCATCGTACCTCTTAAAAGGTACTCTGAACCTGAAGAAGTTGCTGAAGTTGTACTTTTCTTAGCAAGTGACAAGGCAAAAGGCATTACAGGCTCGGATTTTGTTACTGATAATGGAGGTCTTTTAGAATATAATGTTGCACAATAAATAATTAATAATGCACCTGAAAAGCCTACAATACTTTCAACATTTGTTTTAGACAGAGTTATTAGAAATCCAGCTTCGTGTATTATTTTTTTTTGTACACAAATCACAGCTTAAAGTTATTTTAAGTATGTGGCAAATCATATGCATAATCATAATATATTAGATATAAAATATTAGTAACTCGTATTTTAGATTTGTAGTCTTTAACATTTGTTGACATTTTAGGATGTCAATCAAATATTTTAAAATGTAGTATATCACAATAAATATTATTTGACTATTATTATTATTAAATTATTAACATACTATTCCATACAGGACCGTAGCTAGACCCAAGTTTAAGGTAGGTCAAAAGTACTTTTTGGTAGGGCACATTCCATAATTGACTTTCAAAAAGCGAATCTAATTTTCTTGGATCCTTTCATTTTAAGATAGGGCATTAGGCCTTTTAAGGTAGGGTATCGTCATTCAACGACTCCTAACCCTCCCCCCCCCCCCTAGCTATAGTCATGCTCAATATTAAAGATGTGAAATGTTGTGACGATGATCGGACGTTTGTTATTGTCGCTTATATTGGTATTCATGGGGGATTACGTAGAGATTGACCTGGCAACCATCGCTAGCAAAGGGCTATTAACGATTTCTTTTTTAAGCGACACACTCTGATTTGAAAATACAAGATGCAGAAATTTAAATAAATTTCAAAGACATTTTAGACACCAATTCACAAAAATAATAAAAATATTTCATAACTATCTGGTGAATTGTTAACTTCTATATAATTGTAAGTTCCATAAAAAGAAAACTACATAAGCAATTATTATATAATTAAAAAACTGATTTAATTATCAGGTTTGTATATGCAAATAATTAACTTAAAAAAAAACTTCCATCAAGAAAAAAAAAACCTCTTCAACCATTTCCAAAACTTTTCAACCTGTAAGCAAATGACCTTATAGTCGGGCTCACCAGCAGGCAGCTATCGACTTGGCGGTGGCTGTGTAAATAACATCAGTTATGCGGACGACATGGTGTTCCTGGGTCCGACCGTAAATGCTATCGGATAGCTCTTAGCCGAATGTGAGAATTATGCCGCGTCTCATGGCTTCAGTTACAATGGTCAGAAGTGAATACATGGTCTTTAAGATCGCCGGTATGTATTCAAATCGTATTCCGCTAATTCTTCTTAATGAAGTTTTACTCAAGCGAGCATATACATTTCTTACCGACGACTTTAAAAATGATATTAATATAGAAAGGGAGCGTAGGGAATAATTCAAGTTAATGTGTAAGGCTCGATGTTTGTAGCAGCTGAAAATTACACTTTTTAAGACATATTGTCAGAGTCTCTATGTGTCCTATACAATAACGTTTTCAGGATGTTATTGGGATTTGCCCCCTTTTGTAGCGTCTCAGAAATGTTCGCTCAAGCACTGATTGATGGTTTCCACGCTATCATCATCGCCCATAGTGAGAAGAATACGGAGAAGTGACAACACTATCCTTAAAATTATGGCTGAATATGTCTATGGACATAAAACTATAGGACATTTCGTCAGAAAGATGATTAAAAGACAAAGTAACAATTTTCTGATTCTTTTCTGTCCTGACAGAATGACTCAGGTGTACCATACATAACATATGGTCTACTAACTTCTAACCTTGTTTACTAACAATTTCAAGTCTGTTACTAACAAAATGGATCCTATTATCTGATAATAAATAAATTTTATTTTAATTTAAACAGATTACAAGAGGATATTTTTATTACAAGACTTTTTAATCAGCTTGACAAGTTACTGCTTTGGATTCTTAGAAAAATATTTTAGTTGATCTTATTCTCAGATCCTAACAAAACCTTTTGGAAACCATTGTAATAAATTATGGACGAATTCGTCACCATAAGACAAATGATCTGACTTCATGTCCTGATTTATTATTCTTTAGCAGGATGTACCAATTAATCTTCATCCATAAATTAATAAAAGTATTAAAGATTAGATATTCTGATTAGCAAGTTCATAGTGCAAAGAGAGTATATTGCTTATGTTAAATTTAGTGATATATTGTTAACTCAAATCCATGTTATAAAGATAAAGAATATCCAGTGTGTTCTTTGTATACCAAACATTTAAACGTAATCTACAGTTGAAATATAATTATTTAAGCTTCCGAAAATTTCGTAAGTATAATTTTAGCTAGATAAATAAAAATATCGACTTGAAACACAGCAGAGCCAAAATTGAACATTTGACTCATTATTTCGGTGGTGTTTTTAAATCTATAGCCATATGGCTTGACGAGATTACTATGCCAATATATTATAATTAATTTTACTGAACTCGGTTTAAATAGCTACATATATTTTTATACCAATACTATAGTATTGGTATAAAAATATTAGATTGAGAAATAGTAAAGCACCAAATTAACGCAGGCTGGATGAAAAGGTAACAGGTAACGGCAACGAGGATCAGGCCGATCAGGATTAGAGTATTGGACAGCAAAGGAGATGGACGATAGAACCTGACTAGCTGAGATAGTTAGATAGTTCTTTATTGTTACCTCCATAAGATTACAATAGTAAACTTGTTATAAATACAAGTAATTACAAGAAAATATTACACTGAGAAAACAATGGGCGGCCTTATCGCTAAGAGCGATCTTTTCCAGGCAACCTTTGGATGGAGAGGAGTAATGTGATTAAAATGGATGTATAGTATGACAAGGATGGATAAAATTAAAAAAATAAGTCTGTTTAAAAGAAGCATCAGTGATATAATAGATAAAAAGTAACAGTTGTTGTATTGATATGTGATGCATAGAGATGATCCGAATATTTTGAAAAAAGTATTATGTGTGACTATGGATGACTATAAGGTTAGAGGAAGACCTTAAAAGATGGATTATATGGTATGGCTAGGAAGGAAGTGGATTCGGAAATTGTTGTAAATAGTTGATTGGAAGAAGAAAACATATTACGCTTATCCCAAATAATTGAGGTAAGGCATAAGGGTGACAATGACGAAAATGATTTTTGATCTCTGTTGGTCACAAAATAAAAATAAAATAATGTAGTGAATAATTAAAGTAATTAATACTTTATTTAATTTTTTATACAATAAAAATTTTAGTGAAAAACAATTCCATTGTCAACTGTAAATATTGATCCCGTAATACCTTTAGCGTTGTCGTTGGCCAAATACAAAATCACGTCAGCGATTTCCTGGGGTTCCGAGATCCTGCCAATTTTAGTTAAAGGGGTCCAATCATCGCAAGTTATCTTAGTACCACTATTTTCAAGGATGCGGGTTCTCACCGGTCCGGGGCGGACTGCATTCACTCTCACACCAGAAGCCCCCAGCTCTAAGGCAGCACCGCGCGTAAAGTGCTCCACACCGGCTTTGGAGATAGAGTACACTGCGTTCTCTGCACCCAGAGCCATGACTGCAGCAACGCTCGATATATTGACAATGTTGCCTTTACTCTCCACCAGATGGGGTGTCGCTAACGTTGTTAACAGGATGAGTGCTCGTAAATTCACATTCATTACCTCATCGAAAGTCTTCATTATACTTCCTTCTAAAACAGAGCCCATTCTGAATATGCCAGCGCAGTTAACGAGCACGTCTAGTTTCCCGAACTTGTTTACAGTTTCTTGAATGATCCTGTGCGCTTCGTCTTCTCGGGCGATGTCTGCGGCGAGCAGCAGCAGCTCTTGGTCGTGGCGCGGACACTGCGCGCGCACGTCCCGCAGCCGCGCCTCGTCCCTGTCCACCAGCACCACGCGCGCGCCCTCCGCCGCGAACTGCAGCGCGGCCGCCGCCCCGATACCGGAGCCCGCGCCCGTCACCACCACGACTTTGTTCGTAAAACTCATTTGTAGCAACTAGGTGATGCTTATGTGAATACTCGAAGTTCAATATTTCTCTGATAAAGTAACGGTTATTTATATACTCGAGGAATGACACTTGATAAAGTTATTTTTATCATAATTTTAATACAGTACTATATTTAAATAATACCTGGATTACAGAAAAGATACTTGTACTGTGTAATCATACCTATTCCGATGCAGTATGTAATGTAGTTTGGTAAGTTCTAACTTTTTTTTATAATAATGAAATTTATAATAATAATCTTTATAACTCGGGTAGAATTAATGTTTTTTTGCCATAAATACTATCTTCACCAGAGTCAACATCATTTCAGCCGTTAACTGTCCACTGCTGAACATAAGCCTTCCCCATAGGGGGAGTTTTGCCAGCAGTTGCCACGTTTATTCGCTGCTTAGTATAACATCCACTGGAAAGGAAGGGGTGGTCGTTTCTATGCCAGGACCATACAGCCAATTCAATATTCACATTGAACTCTTTTGAATTCTCCAATTCTGAAGGATAAGAAAGCTGAAGTGGCAATGAGTTGGTGAATATAGCTCGAAGAACTGACAACCATGGGCAAGAAAAATTCTCGAATGACAGTAACGTACAGGCAAACGCAGTGTAGGACGATCCCTCAATAGACGGGAGTGAAAAATCCACAAGAAACGCAACAGGTGCTTAAAAAAATATTACAAGATAAATTGTTAAATTGAAAAAAACTACAAGATACTTTTTTTTTATTATTTTTATGGGTACAATGACTTCAATTAGCATTAAGTTTTATTTATACATATTCAGATTAGATATTTAGATTACATTTAGATTTAGAATAAAATTTCATAATCAGTCATTAACAGTAAACACCAGCAGACCAGTAAAAATCAGCAGATCAGTAAAACTCATTCATTTTTTAGGATGATCATAGTACTCGACCACATTGTTGGAAGTCCAACAACCCTGCCCAGCATATCGTTGGGGGGAAAGGATTGTTAGTAATGGGGTAAAAATAGTCCTATTGCTAGCAATATACCCTATCAGGTCGATCTCCACGCGGTTTCCCCTGGAAACCATCGTGATTAATTCTCGTGGAATTCGTCACGATATGGTAACTGAGTCATGATGGGCTAACTGACCTACTTCATCCTCAGTTATCATTTATCACTGGTACCACGCCAGGGTTACCCGTTTTTTTTACAGGTGAAAATGGTATGGTAACCCCACCTGCGCTAACGGAGTTCGCTGGCGGGGCACCAGTGAAGAGTGATAGATGAGAATGAAAACAGGCCAGGTAGCCCATCATGATGAATTCATCAGGAATTAACCATAATAGTTTCCAGGGAAAACCGCGGGGCGGTCGACCTGGTTGGGTATATTGCTAGCTATGGGATTCTCAGTCTCCATTACTAACAATCCCTTTCCCTCCAGCGTAATCCGTTAGCGCAGGCAAGGTTATTATTTCATTATAAATATAAAAAAAAAACCAGCATGCCACCACCAGTCCGGACCTTATAGTGAGCACGATTGTCTTTAAGTTACTGCATTACGTCACTACTTACGTAATATAATTATATTAATGCTATTTTAATATTTTGTTTCTGAAATGGATGATAATGGAATGATAACCTCGCTCGCGCTATCGGCGTACGCTGACGGAGCACCGTCAACAATGGGACTGATATTTCCCATTACTAACAATCCCTCCTGGCAATTACTAAAAACTCCCTTCATGAATCCTGTTAGTGTAATGATTGTCCATTATTGTTCATATGCGTTTTAGTACTGAATTGTTTGCTTAAATACTTGAAACGTCGAAGGTTTACGATAACGTCATAAAAATAACAAATTTTTTTTTGCAAAATTAGTACATTTTATTAAGATCCATCCAAATATCTCTGCAAACTATTACAATTATAGTATGACGAATAGGATTTATTGGCAATATTTAAAATTCTTTATTAGTGTTCTACGGAATAGCAGTTTCACTAAAAAACCATTCCATTGTCGACTGTAAATATTGATCCCGTTATTCCTTTAGCTTTATCGTTGGCCAGGAACAAAATTGTATCTGCGATTTCCTGGGGCTCTGATATTCTGCCGATTTTAGTTAAATCACTCCAATCATCACAATTCATATCGCGACCACAGTTCTCTGCGATGCGAGTCCTCACCGGTCCGGGGCGGACCGCATTCACTCTTACACCAGAAGCGGCCAGCTCTAAGGCAGCACCGCGCGTAAAGTGCTCCACACCGGCTTTGGAGATAGAGTACACTGCGTTCTCTGCACCCAGAGCCATGACTGCAGCAACGCTCGATATATTGACAATGTTGCCTTTACTCTCCACCAGATGGGGTGCTGCTAACGTTGTTAATAGGACGAGTGCTCGCAAATTAACATTCATTACCTCATCGTATGTCTCCATAATATTCTCGTCTAAACCAGAGTTTACTCTAAAAATGGCAGCGCAGTTAACGAGCACGTCTAGTTTCCCGAACTTGTTTACAGTTTCTTGAATGATCCTGTGCGGTTCGTCTTCTCGGGCGATGTCTGCGGCGAGCAGCAGCAGCTCTTGGTCGTGGCGCGGACACTGCGCGCGCACGTCCCGCAGCCGCGCCTCGTCCCTGTCCACCAGCACCACGCGCGCGCCCTCCGCCGCGAACTGCAGCGCGGCCGCCGCCCCGATACCGGAGCCAGCGCCCGTCACCACCACGACTTTGTTCGTAAAACTCATTTGTAGCAACTAGGTGATGCTTATGTGAATACTCGAAGTTCAATATTTCTCTGATAAAGTAACGGTTATTTATATACTCGAGGAATGACACTTGATAAAGTCATTTTTATCATAATTTTAATACAGTACTATATTTAAATAATACCTGGATTACAGAAAAGATACTTGTACTGTGTAATCATACCTATTCCGATGCAGTATGTAATGTAGTTTGGTAAGTTCTAACTTTTTTTATAATAATGAAATTTATAATAATAATCTTTATAACTCGGGTAGAATTAATGTTTTTTTGCCATAAATACTATCTTCACCAGAGTCAACATCATTTCAGCCGTTAACTGTCCACTGCTGAACATAAGCCTTCCCCATAGGGGGAGTTTTGCCAGCAGTTGCCACGTTTATTCGCTGCTTAGTATAACATCCACTGGAAAGGAAGGGGTGGTCGTTTCTATGCCAGGACCATACAGCCAATTCAATATTCACATTGAACTCTTTTGAATTCTCCAATTCTGAAGGATAAGAAAGCTGAAGTGGCAATGAGTTGGTGAATATAGCTCGAAGAACTGACAACCATGGGCAAGAAAAATTCTCGAATGACAGTAACGTACAGGCAAACGCAGTGTAGGACGATCCCTCAATAGACGGGAGTGAAAAATCCACAAGAAACGCAACAGGTGCTTAAAAAAATATTACAAGATAAATTGTTAAATTGAAAAAAACTACAAGATACTTTTTTTTTATTATTTTTATGGGTACAATGACTTCAATTAGCATTAAGTTTTATTTATACATATTCAGATTAGATATTTAGATTACATTTAGATTTAGAATAAAATTTCATAATCAGTCATTAACAGTAAACACCAGCAGACCAGTAAAAATCAGCAGATCAGTAAAACTCATTCATTTTTTAGGATGATCATAGTACTCGACCACATTGTTGGAAGTCCAACAACCCTGCCCAGCATATCGTTGGGGGGAAAGGATTGTTAGTAATGGGGTAAAAATAGTCCTATTGCTAGCAATATACCCTATCAGGTCGATCTCCACGCGGTTTCCCCTGGAAACCATCGTGATTAATTCTCGTGGAATTCGTCACGATATGGTAACTGAGTCATGATGGGCTAACTGACCTACTTCATCCTCAGTTATCATTTATCACTGGTACCACGCCAGGGTTACCCGTTTTTTTTACAGGTGAAAATGGTATGGTAACCCCACCTGCGCTAACGGAGTTCGCTGGCGGGGCACCAGTGAAGAGTGATAGATGAGAATGAAAACAGGCCAGGTAGCCCATCATGATGAATTCATCAGGAATTAACCATAATAGTTTCCAGGGAAAACCGCGGGGCGGTCGACCTGGTTGGGTATATTGCTAGCTATGGGATTCTCAGTCTCCATTACTAACAATCCCTTTCCCTCCAGCGTAATCCGTTAGCGCAGGCAAGGTTATTATTTCATTATAAATATAAAAAAAAAACCAGCATGCCACCACCAGTCCGGACCTTATAGTGAGCACGATTGTCTTTAAGTTACTGCATTACGTCACTACTTACGTAATATAATTATATTAATGCTATTTTAATATTTTGTTTCTGAAATGGATGATAATGGAATGATAACCTCGCTCGCGCTATCGGCGTACGCTGACGGAGCACCGTCAACAATGGGACTGATATTTCCCATTACTAACAATCCCTCCTGGCAATTACTAAAAACTCCCTTCATGAATCCTGTTAGTGTAATGATTGTCCATTATTGTTCATATGCGTTTTAGTACTGAATTGTTTGCTTAAATACTTGAAACGTCGAAGGTTTACGATAACGTCATAAAAATAACAAATTTTTTTTTGCAAAATTAGTACATTTTATTAAGATCCATCCAAATATCTCTGCAAACTATTACAATTATAGTATGACGAATAGGATTTATTGGCAATATTTAAAATTCTTTATTAGTGTTCTACGGAATAGCAGTTTCACTAAAAAACCATTCCATTGTCGACTGTAAATATTGATCCCGTTATTCCTTTAGCTTTATCGTTGGCCAGGAACAAAATTGTATCTGCGATTTCCTGGGGCTCTGATATTCTGCCGATTTTAGTTAAATCACTCCAATCATCACAATTCATATCGCGACCACAGTTCTCTGCGATGCGAGTCCTCACCGGTCCGGGGCGGACCGCATTCACTCTTACACCAGAAGCGGCCAGCTCTAAGGCAGCACCGCGCGTAAAGTGCTCCACACCGGCTTTGGAGATAGAGTACACTGCGTTCTCTGCACCCAGAGCCATGACTGCAGCAACGCTCGATATATTGACAATGTTGCCTTTACTCTCCACCAGATGGGGTGCTGCTAACGTTGTTAATAGGACGAGTGCTCGCAAATTAACATTCATTACCTCATCGTATGTCTCCATAATATTCTCGTCTAAACCAGAGTTTACTCTAAAAATGGCAGCGCAGTTAACGAGCACGTCTAGTTTCCCGAACTTGTTTACAGTTTCTTGAATGATCCTGTGCGGTTCGTCTTCTCGGGCGATGTCTGCGGCGAGCAGCAGCAGCTCTTGGTCGTGGCGCGGACACTGCGCGCGCACGTCCCGCAGCCGCGCCTCGTCCCTGTCCACCAGCACCACGCGCGCGCCCTCCGCCGCGAACTGCAGCGCGGCCGCCGCCCCGATACCGGAGCCCGCGCCCGTCACCACCACGACTTTGTTCGTAAAACTCATTTGTAGCAACTAGGTGATGCTTGTTAGGATTCTCGAAACTCAATATTCCTCTCGTAAAATAACAGTTGTTTATATACTCAAGGAATATTGCTTGATAGTAAAAACACATTATCATTATCAATACAGTATTCATGTCATTGTTTAATTATAGATTTATTTTATGCTTGGCATAGCGGGTTTGCGACCGCATTTAGACTTTGGTGATGTTTTAAGAGGTTGCTGTCAATTCTTCGATTATTAAGTTCCTTTACTCGCTTCTTACGATACCCCCGGGGGAAAAATAGGGGTAGCACATTCTATTCTCGTTATAATACAGGGGACTAACGAGTATTCGGCTCACCTATGAGTGACTACCGCTGCCCATGATCACTCACAACGCCAGAGGTATTGCATGGCCTTTTAAAAAAGAATACACTCTTTTCTTGAAGGTTATGTCGTATCGATTAGGAAATACTGCTGCTGAAAGTTGAGTACAAAGAGTGATTGTGCGTGGAAGAAAGTGCCTTGAGAGAAGCACGATGGAAGACCGCCACTTATCCAGGTGATTGGGATGGAACTTTAGTTTGTGGTGGGTCGTGTGGTGGTGAAAATCAACATCAGGATTCAATCTGAACAATTCTTCAGACCACTCTCCATAATAAATTCAATATTAGATGCACAGAAATGCAACATCTCTACGCAGTTTCTGTGGGTCGAGTCGGATAGTACAGCTCTGATGATCAATAATTCGACGCCAGACTTTGAATGCGGTCCAACGAAAGGAGCTGGTACTGTGGCGCTCCTGCCCATAGGTGAGAACAGTATTTTCTATGTGGCTTGATTTAAGCTTTATACAATTTCAAGCGGTGCTCCGGCGTGAAATACCATCTCACCTATTGAGCACTCCTAACTTTTTGGAGGCCATTTTAGCCTTTTTCTTCAGATGACCGCAAAACTGGACGTCGCTGGATATATCAACGCTAAGGATTCCTAGACTAGACTTATTATCAAGGGAAGTGCCCTAAAAGTGGGGAGATACGACAAGGGGTGTCTTTCTTGCAGTGAACGCGTAGTGTCTTCTTAGGATTCACTTGAACAAGATTGTGTTTGTCTGGGGCAACCACGTCTTGTTCAATCAAAACTTGAGTGAAGTTTTGATTTCTATCGTTAGTAATGCGTACTAGTCTCATTGCTAGCAATAAACCCTGTTAGGTCGACCTCCACGTGGTCTCCCTGGAATCGTAGGAAACTACAGGTGTATTCATCATGATGGGCTAACTGACATGCCTTTTCATCCTTACTTATCATATTTCACTGGTCCCCCGCTAGAGTAGGCGGAGAATTAATTATCATTCCATTATCACCCATTAAAAAAGAACCGTCGCCTATAGACATGAACAGTACCATAGACATAACAGATATAACTGTTTCGACCAAAATACCCCCCATGCGTTACCATTCCTGAGGACTAAGATGTTATGCCTCTGTACTCTGTAAATTCATTACCATATCCCACACTTCAAACCGAAACACAGCTATGCAAATACAACTGCTTTACGGTAGAAACACGAATGGGACAGAGGTACTCAAGTAAACAACTTTTGTACAGTCTCCTTCTGGTTAGTAGACGCATGCCCTTTTTATTTCATCCTCTCAGGAGATAATCACAATAATTTCTTCAAAAATTTCCTGATAAATATAACCTAGTTCAGCAAAATATTCACTGTTGGACGTCTTTCCATGATAGGATGCTATTAACTCACTATTACTATGCTGGACATCGTCAGATACGCAGCCTAGTGCTACCTTTCAATCTCTTGTCACTTGTATCGGTGTCTTTTCTTTTGGTCGCCTCTCACAACATCTTAAGGAGGAAAAGGGATTGTTAGTATTGGGGTCATATAACTCCATTACTAGCTTTATACTCTGTCAGATCGACCTCCACGTGGTTCCCCCTGGAAACTATCGTGGCTAATTCTATTTGAATTCGTCAGGATAGGCTAACTGACCTGCTTACATCCTCATCAGTCATCTACCACTGGTGCCCCGCCAGTGTATACCGATAGCGCAGACGGGGTTACCATAACATTGTCACCCATTAAAAAAACATCCTAAGGATAAAAACATGTGTTGACACCTTGTATTCTTATTGATATTTAAAATCAGCGGACTCTGACATTGACAAAAGAAGGTGATTGTTAAGTACATACTTGTTACAAAAAATTCTACGATATCTGTTTGGTGACTCGACTTTGTAACAATAATTAAGTTGCACAAAAAAGACTTCAATTGTGGCAACACTAATTATTTTGATATAAAAAAATAAATTACTGAACAGATTTCGATAAAATTTCCATGGGATCAATGTGTAAGTATATTATTTATTTATTTAAATAACTTTATTCACCAAAATAAGGTACAAAAGACGAACCTAATGCTAGTAGCATTTTCGACTAGTCAACCTTTTTCTTTAATACAACTTAGAATGGCAAACAAGCTGACGGCCCACCTGATGGAAAGTGGTAACCGTCGCCTATAGACATGAGCAGTACCATGGACAATAGAGTATACTGTTTCACCCGTGATACCCCCCATGCGTTGCCATTCCTGAGGACTCAGGTGCTATTCCTCTGTAACCTGTAAATTTCACACATTATCCCACCCTTCAAACAGAAACACAGCCCTGCAAACACAACTGCTTCACGGTAGAAACACGAATGGGACAGAGGTACCCAAACAATCGATTTTTGCACAGAGTCTCCCTCTGGTAAAACGAAAACCTTTGGGGTGAATAATATAATATGAATAATATATATTCTTTCAAATAAAATCAATTTTCCAAATCGGTTTACAACTGACGGAGTTACGTGGTAAACACACGTTAAAAATAAAATACAATCAAATTGAGAACTTATTTTGTTTTGAATTCGATTGAAAAATTAGATATTAATTTTAAAATAGCCAAGTTTAGTGCTTAGGTGTATAAATAGATAATTTATTATCGACTGGGTTATCATTGTTTATGATTTTGTCTTTTATTTTAGGAAATAATTTTAAATATACTCGTATATAATATAATTTTAATATATTACCTTATGTTTTTGTCATCTATTTACATACATTCCGCACCAAAATAAGACAAAGGAACCATTGTGATCGGACTTTGTAGGTCTATCCATCCGTCCGTCCTGCAAACGAGCATGCGGCTCACCTGATGGTGACTACCGCCGCCTATGATCACCCACAACACCAAGAAAACCATCCTCAAGATTCAGGATTGATCAATTATTAAATATCATAGTAAACTATTTTTTTTTTACTACATTGCACGCATAAACATGTTACACACACATGACTCACCCTATTGTTACATAATTTAAATTTGAAATATTCCTATCGTTGGTTCGCCTATTTTTAAACGGTTTTATTTAGCTCGACCTGTACGGTATTTATTTATTTGGGTCAAAATTAGAAATTGGAATTTAAGCACCTTCCCGTTGTCAGATTGATCTGAAATTTGGTACACACATTTAATTTAGATGACAATACAATATAATAAAATCAATAACATTATAAATCTAAGATGGCCGCCGATACAAAATGGCGGATTACATATTTTTCCTTAACCCCCGCAATATGGGTATCAAATGAAAGGGCTACACTAGTAAAACACGATGATTATGTCAAAATTTAAAATTCAAGATGGACGCCGTTCCAATATGGCGGACTAGGTACATATTTTTCCACAACCACCACAATATGGGTATCAAATAATAGGACTACACTGAGACACCCAGACACTAGACACTCGGACACTAGACACTCAGACGCTAGACCCTCAGACACTAGACACTCAGACACTCAGACACTAGACACACAGACACTAGACACTCGGATACAAGACACTCAGACACTAGACACTCGGACACTAGACACTCAGACACTAGACACTAGACACTCGACACTCGACACTCAGACACTAAACACCAGACACAAGACACTCGACACTCAGACACTAGACACTAGACACTCGACACTCGACACTCAGACACTAAACACTAGACACTAGACATTCAGATACTTGACACTCAGACACTAGACACTCGACACTCGACACTCAGATACTAAACACTAGACACTAGACACTAGACACTCAGACATCCAGACACTAGACACTCAGACACTAGACACTCGACACTCGACACTCAGACACTAAACACCAGACACTAGACACTCAGACACTCGACACTCGACGTCACTCGACACCCGACACTTGACACTCGACACTCAGACACTAAACACTAGACACTAGACACTCAGACACTCGACACTCAGACACTAGACACTCGACACTCGACACTCAAATACTAAACACTAGACACTAGACACTCCGACACTCGGATATAAGACACTCAGACACTAGACTCTCAGACACTTGACACTCAGACACCCAGACACTAGACACTCAGACACTAGACACTCGAAACTCGACACTTGACACTCGACACTAGACACTCAGACGCTAGACCCTCAGACACCCAGACCCCAGAGACACAGACACTAGATACTCGGATACAAGACACTCAGACACTAGACACTCGACACTCGACACTCAGACACTAAACACCAGACACAAGACACTCAGACACTCGACACTCGACGTCACTCGACACTCGACACCCGACACTCGACACTCGACACTCAGACACTAAACACTAGACACTCAGACACTCGACACTAGACACTCGACACTCGACACTCAAATACTAAACACTAGACACTAGACACTCCGACACTCGGATATAAGACACTCAGACACTAGACTCTCAGACACTTGACACTCAGGCACCTAGACACTAGACACTCAGACACTAGAGACTCAGACTCTAGACAGTCGAAACTCGACACTCGACACTCGACACTCAGACACTAAACACTAGACACTAGACACTCAGACACTGGACACTCGGATATAAGACACTCAGACACTAGACTCTCGGACACTTGACACTCAGACACCCAGACACTAGACACTCTGACACTCGACACTCAGACACTAAACACCAGACACTAGACACTCAGACACTCAGACACTCGACACTCGACACCCGACACTCGACACTTGACACTCGACACTCAGACACTAAACACTAGACACTAGACACTCAGACACTCGACACTCAGACACTAGATACTCGACATTCGACACTCGACACTCAAATACTAAACACTAGACACTAGACACTCCGACACTCGGATATAAGACACTCAGACACTAGACTCTCAGACACTTGACACTCAGACACCCAGACACTAGACACTCAGACACTAGACACTAGACACTCGACACTCAGACACTAAACACTAGACACTAGACACTCAGACACTCGACACTCAGACACTAGACACTCGACACTCAAATACTAAACACTAGACACTAGACACTCAGACATCCAGACACTAGACACTCAGACACTGGACACTCGGATACAAGACACTCAGACACTAGACTCTCAGACACTTGACACTCAGACACCCAGACACTCGACACTCGTCACTCAGACACTAAACACACTCAGACACTCGACACTCGACGTCACTCGACACTCGACACTCGACACCCGACACTCGACACTCAGACACTAGACACTAGACACTCAGATACTCGACACTCAGACACTAGATACTCGACACTCGACACTCAAATACTAAACACTAGACACTAGACACTCCGACACTCAGACACTAGACTCTCAGACACCCAGACACTAGACACTCGACACTCGACACTTGACACTCGACACTCGACACTCGACACTCGACACTAGACACTCAGACACCCAGACACTAGACACTCAGACACTAGACCCTCGGATACAAGACACTCAAACACTAGACTCTCAGACACTTGACACTCAGACACCCAGACACTAGACACTCGACACTCGATACTCGACACTCGACACTAGACACTCAGACACTCAGACACTAGACACTAGACACTAGACACTCGACACTCGACACTCGACACTCAGACACTAAACACTAGACACTCAGACACTAGACACTCGACAGTCGACACTCGACACTCAGACACTAAACACTAGACACTAGACACTCGACACTCGACACTCAGATACTAAACACTAGACACTCAGACACTGGACACTCGGATACAAGACACTCAGACACTAGACTCTCAGACACTTGACACTCAGACACCTTTTTGGCCTCAGTTCCGTCGAACCCAAATGTACGAAACAGATATATCATTAGTTTTAATTTACTTTGGCACAGACGGCATGCACGTTATTTACCCTAAAGCCATACAGTTTCCAGCAAAATTCAATTATGGTACGGCTGAAAAAAGGATGTTGCCCTTAGTTTTGTCATGAGCATTCACCGTCCATAAAATGCAGGGCAGCACCGTCGACCATGCAGTAGTATATTTGGGCTCAAAATGGTTTGAGGAAGGACAAGCATACGTGGCTCTAAGTCGAGTCAAGTCTCTGGAAGGGCTATCTATTGAGGAATTAGATTGTACTAAATTATCAGGTAAGAAACCATATAATAATGATGCACTGAATGAATTAAATAAAATGAGGAATATTCGGTAAACAATTTCACTAAATACTAAAAACAAGAAAATAAAAATCGGTAAAAAAACTAAGTTAAACGGTTTTATTTTATGTGCACTGAAAACTACAAAATAAATAAATAGTTACTTACCTATCAACCTACGTAGGTGATCTCGGTCATTAATATCTCTGATGGTAGTGGTTGTCATAACATGAACCATGTCAGCGGCCGAAAGGCAGTTCATGAGAGAACACTAACACCAGGGTTTGCTTGGTAGGTAAACTAAGCAGCCCACACTATAACAAGTAGGTATTTTGACCTTCTAGTTCAGAAATATTTTAGTACTAGGCAGAATAGCTTTTAGGCATATTAGACTAAAATAAAAACGTGGGGCCCCTCTGAAATCATACCTATAGCAGAGCATATCTTATACTTTGGTAGATCATGAGCTCGGCGTTCGCTGGTGAAGCCGTAACGGCTGGTTATTGATGGTCAAAACCTCCAGTTACGATTATAGTAAGTCGATTCAGCGGACCCTGGACTCCGGAGCTATGAGGTTTCGGATGCGACCGGGATAAACCGCTAGGATGATGATGATGACGATTATAGTAAGTCGATGCAATCCACACTTAGTATAGTAGAAAGTAATACAGAAATAGTTAATGGGCCCCATCTCTATAGAATCTATAGAATTCATATCTGAAGTTTCAAATTTGATACCGGGGTTATAAATCGCATTGGGCGTCTACAATCATTTTAATATTTGGCTGTTTAAATGTTACGTTTTTTTTTTTTTTTCAAAATAAATATTTGAAAAATATCGTTTTGATTTTTTATACTATTTTTCCCCATTAGTAAACACAATAAAAGGTACACATGTATTTTTTTATTTTTAAGTTCAGGCTTTTAAGGGTTGAGATTATGGTCCTTAAAAACCGGATTTCATTGTGGCAAAATCAGTTATTTTGATTTGAAAATTGAATTACTGAATCGATTTTGATAAAATTTCTATGCAACCAATCTCCAAGTATATGCTTTTAAATTTGAAATCGGTCAAGAGATGTATCAAATTGTAGGTAAGTGATTAAAAACAGTTGTAGTGTCGTGACATTATGGTTACCAACGATTGACGCCAAATTTCGGCAAAGAATTCCTCTCTATCGTTACCATAGTTCCGAATGAGAAAATAATAGCTTGTAAGATCAGCTACCACGCTGGTTGCTATAGGTTGCTTAGAATAGGGTTTAAGAACAAGAAATCTTTAAATTAAAAAATATTTTGTCTTTATGCTTTGGACGGCATGTAAAGTCATCGTGTATAACGGATGAACGAGCGTCTTAGAAACCTTTGACACTAGGGAGCACCAGTCTCGCACGAGTAGTAGCAGTATAGGGGAGTAAGTAAATAAAATAAAAAGTAAAATTTTCCGCAAATATATTTCATAGAAACATAATTGCCGTCAGGTTACGCTTACACCAAAACTGGAATAACGAGCGCGAATGCCGCGTACACTGTGGACAAACAAACAATATATTGTTATTAGATGCTTTAAATATGTTGAACAGTCTTATTAAGGTGGGCTATATATTGGTCTAATAAGTGCTATATTATATATATAAGGCGTTACCAAATCATCTGCATTCCCTTTAAGGGGATATTGTATTACGAATATACGTTACGATAATGATAGAGTTTCGTGTCTTAAATGTTATAAATTTTTTTTTACAAAAAAAAAAAAATCGTTAATAAATGTAAACTTTTTACCCCATGTGTAAAAAGTGCCTTTTAAAAAACGTTACGCTAAAACCGACGGAGTGAGCGCGACCAACAATGTGTTAGAGGAAAGTATAGTTTTATGCGCACGTTTTTTACAAGCAATGAAGAAATTTAAGTATTTTATAATTTTTTTAAAAGTGCTACTTCGACATGATATGATATACCTTTTTTATCGAAATGTATTTATGCCTTGTAGCAGGGAATGCAGATAAATTGGTAACATTTTTTTATAATAATATCATAATCAAGGACGAGATAAAAATGCATATAGATATATCCGATGGGTACGCGTGATGTAGAAATAGGTAATGATCAAAAAACTTCCATCACTAATGTTTAGAGGAGTCCAACATAGAGCCAACTATAGCCATGCTTTATAAGAACTTTGTGATGGCCAGTATGAAGTGGGATTGAGGTGATAACATAATATGTTGCGTATCAACAGGTGAATGCTAGGATATGAATACATTATAGCCAATAAATAGAAAATAAATCATCCTTATACAAATAGACTTGATGAGTTGACAAGGGACAATTTTTAAATAATAATAATAACAATGATTATTTATTTTATCTCACGACTTTTTTGAGTACAATGAAACATTTAAAATAATACCATAGATACATCAAAGTTGTAGAGAACTGGTGCCTGAACTGGGTATCCGAAGAACCCGTATCACAAGGCACCAGGATGAAAATTGAAGATTTAAACGATTCATATTTTCATAATTCTACTATTGGGTAAAGCAGTTGTTTGCATGGCTGTGTTTCAGTTTGAAGGGTAGGATATGGCAGTGAATTAACAGGGTACAGAGGAATAACATTTGAGTTCTCAGGAATGGCAACGAATGGGGGGGTATCGCGGGCGAAACAGTATACTCTGTTATGTCCATGGTACTGCTCATGTCTATTAGCGACGGTTACCACTTTCCATCAGGTGGGCCGTCAGCTTGTTTGTCATTCTAAGTTGTATAAAAAAAATTGGGTTCAGAATATCTGCTGAGAAATACCCGCAGGAAACTAAATAATAGTTTATTTAACAAACATTGTTATACTTAAAGAAAAAGGCTTATACAGACTAAATAACATTATATGATATGTTTGCCATTAGTTGCCACACTTGGCAACCACAGTTAGGCCTTTAGTGATGTTTTAAGAGGGACGCTGCTGCCCATCCCTCGACTATAAACTCCCTTAGCCTCTTACGACAGCCACGAGAAAGTGGTGGCCCATTCTATATCAGAACCTACATGGCTAGGTTGCATACAAATATAAGAAATAATATTTACCTTTAAAAATGCATTTAATCGAAGAGACCGAAGCCCATGTCCTCATCCTCAGATTCAGACTCTTCCTTCTTGGTCTCCTTTTCTTCTGTAATAAGAATTTTTAATATGTTAATACATATATATTTTAATAGTTCAGTATAGATGTAATGGAAGGGTAAATCAGTAGTGAAAGTAAACATCACTGCCATTCAGTCGAAAGATGGTGTTTGGAAAAATCATCATTAAAAATACAATAGAAATTCTAGTATCGTACATTTTTTTTAAATTTATTAAGGTCAAGAATAAGTAAACAAAAATTACAATTGTATATATATATGTCGACGGTTGAAAGGCAAAATTGACTAAGCGACAAAAATACCTAAACTGAGTTTTATATACCATTCGAATCGCCTGATTTTTCTGCGTCGATTGGTCTAGGTTTTAAAATTCTACGATAATTTTTTTGTCGGTTAAGTACTGCGTGATTTTAGCTAAATTTACAATTTTATGTTTACTTAGCGACAAAAAAAATGTCATTTAAAGAATATTTGCTACTTACGCCATTTTAAAAGTTGAAATATGGATTTATTAAATTTTTCATATCTTTGCTTTCACTTTTATTTGGAAGTAGGAATTTTTACTTGTTATGAAATTTCGTTTTTATCTGTTTTAGTATATTGTACCTATTTAAAAAAAATATAAATAATTTGGTTATGTAATTTTACCTGATGTAATATTTTGAGATATTGCAATTTATGTAATTTAACTAAAAATAAAATTAAAGTAAATTATACCTTAGATATTTTTACCTGTATAAAAATATGTTTGCTTTTAGCGGTATATATTTTTACTGCATATATTTGACTCGTTGAAATGAGTAAAAATGGCGCTAAGATAAATTTACCAGTACGCAAAATACAAATATTATATTTGGCAAATAGAAAATGTGTATGTGTTTATTACCATTGACATTGCAAGCACGATAATAGATAACACGGCATCAACTAAACAGGTGGCATTTCCTGGCACTACTATTGTATCGATTGATCATGATTATAATATCATAACGTTAAATAAATCTGATAACTCTGCATCAAATATACATAATTACGAAAATAAGAAAAACTCACGTTCTTTAACATCAGACCATGATACACCATCTACATCGACCGGTTTGAGTAAAGAATCCAATGAATTAAATCCAATTAAATATAAAAGAATACCTAAGAAAGATGTTAGTTATATTGATTATATGTCAGATCAAGAAGACTTTTCCATATTTTATGGCATAAATGATTCAGATAATTGGTCAGAAAGAGAAGAAGTAACCTCTGAAGATGATAATAATATACAATGAAATAGAAGAAAAATAATAAGAAGTAAAACATACTAAAAAAATAACACTAAAACTAACGATGGTAGTCCTGATAACCAAGAACTAGAAATTATCGGAGAATCTGCGTCCAAAGCTAAAAAATTAAACCTAAGAAAAGAACGAACTAAAAATATAAAATCTGGTAAAGAATATATTACAAAGACTGGTATAGTTAAAACAGCGCCTAATCCTTGCTCTGGCAAAAAATCTGATAATAACTGTGGTTCTCTATCTGAAGTAAGAAGAGGAAATTTTTCAATGATTTTTGGGATCTTGACCAAACACGTCGCCGTGATTAGTTAGTATCTATGTCAAAAAAGGATTCATCAAACGTAAATGTACAGACACTGATAAGCGCAACTACACTATTAAATATTTTATTAACAAAGGCGAAGGTAAAAAGTATGTTTGTCAACAATTTTTAGTAGCTACTCTGAACATTTCTGATAAAACAATTTACAATATTGTAAAAGATTTTACTTTTGGATGCACGAAAGAAAATATGAGAGGGATATCTGAACCCAGAAATATGTGAAACCCCTTTGGCCACAACAGAATATCAGTGTTTAGCTCTTTTGAGGGCAAAGCAATAAACTGAGTTGTGACCATTTTGTATTGTTACGGCACACGCACAAAAGGAAAAATTGTACTTGGCTTTATGTATTTTTTTAATAATTTCTCTTTTCTCGCTTTTTATAATTTACGTGCTTGTAAGTAACACAAATAAATTATATGTCTATCAAATAGAACTAAAAAAAAAACTACTATAGATGCTGTTAAGAGATTTATCCAAAAATTACCAGCCCTTGTATTATAGTAGAAAACTGGCAGTATACAATATTTGCTTTTATGAAAATGGAACTCGTAATGTTTTCTGTTACTATTGGGATGAAACTAATGGCAAACGAGGATCAAATAAGATTGTATCAATACTGAACAAATATATTAAATCTGTAGATACCAGAGGAAATATCAAGCAATTACTTTTACATTGTGACTGTTGTCCCGGTCAAAATAGTAATCGTACTGTATTAGCAATGTTGCATTCATCACTACAGGAGTATGAAAATATTAATACTATTAAAATAAATTTTCTCTTGACTGGTCATACTTATATACCCGTAGATAGATTTAAGAATACAATTGTTTACGCACCATCTCAATGGTTTACAATTTTTGCATATTAATAATCTAACTGGAAAGTAAGATTTGTATTATGACTTTCAAAGAAGGATAAGCAAAACGTTAAATATAAAATATTCGTGAACACTAACGCTTCTTTTGATACTGAAATTCAATTTAAAACCAAGATATCTCTTTTATCTTGTTATCGATCGCAGCTTCCAATATCAAAAGCCAAATATGATGATCTAGTCAAACTTTTCACAGACGATGTTATTTTTAATTGCTTTGTTAGCTTTCCACGTGCAATAAATATCAGAGACACTCTAAACTAATCAGATATTAAAGATTGTGATTTTAATAATAATTAATTAAAATAGTTTATTCAATTAATTATAATAAAAAACCAGATAACCTATTATAACTCTAACAAACATTTATTATTTTTAATAGACGAAAATTAAAGACAGGTTATAGATAAATTATGTGAAAGCAAAATTAGTCTTCTTATATTATGAATATTTTTGTTAATTTTATAGTATTATTTATTATCATTATTACATTATAAATAATTAATAATAATTAGTTTAAAGTCAGTTTGGGATAATTTTAGGAAAATTTATTAACTAAAGATACATATTCTGCTAACACAACAATCATACAAGAACTTACCTAGACAATTTTACTTGATTTTGTTCAATCTAATATACGTCTTTATATAATTGTACTTGTAAGGAGATTTAGATGAATCAGGATAACGATATTTTTACTCGTTTCTGTTAACTTTTTAGGCAAATTTATATAATTTTACCTGTAACCAAATCTAGGTATTTTTTATCTAACCGACATAAAATACTTCAAATTTTAGTCTGGCATAAATTTCTTTGATATCAAAAAATAACAAAAAATATATGTTTTCCGTAACTGTTAAAATTATTTCGATATGTCAATCAGGTAAATAGTTATGATTTTTTTTTAAAAAATTTCAACTTTAAACCGCTCTCCTGTAAAGTTTATTAAATGTCGCTTAGTTAAGGTTGCCTTTCAACCGTCGATGTATATATTACAATATATATAAAATGACTATGTAGCTACTTTATATATGTAGTCACATCATTTCAATTCCAAAATAATAAACATATTTTATAAATTATATAAAATATATAAATATAAATTACATGGTCAACTCTGAGCCGATTTTGAGAATTCTTTTTGAAATTAATTGGATTTACTACCATGTCGGTTACATATTAACTTTGCGACAATTTAAAATGCCACTTTTCTTTGAAGAGCAGCAAAACTAGCAAAGCAAAATGTTCAAGAAGAAATACTACATTAAAATATTTTTGGGGTCTGAAATACCTCTTTGTCTATCTATATTTTCTTACTGTTACTGTCAAAGTTTTTTGCTTTATAATGATTTATATCCATTTTGTATAGGTATCATGATAAAGTGGCATTTAAAAATTACAGATTATTTACTAAATGAGTATAAAAAAAAAAGGTAACATTTATATACTTCCAAAAACAATTATCCTCCTTGGTTTTTAACTTTTTTTTTATATGGATATGAAAAAGTATACATATCCAAGCTAGTGGTATACACAGGAAACTACTAGTGTAGGATAAAGTCAACACAGTGGGTCCATTGTGACAAATAAAAAAATATATTTATTTAATCTTTTTTAGTAGTTAGGTATAGTATTATATCTAATATATTGGAGGGGGAAGGGATTGTTAGGAATGGGGATGTTAGTCTCCAATTTCTATTAATATACCTTATCGGGTCAACCTCCACATGGTTACTCCTGGAAACTATTGTGACTAATTTATCATTGAATTCATAACGATGGGCTTCACTAACTTGCTTTTTCATCATCATCAATCATCCTTCACTGGTGCCCCCCAGTGTATACCGAAAGCGCAGATGGCGTTACCATTCCATTATCATCCATTAAAAAATATATCGAGCATCAAGTACCTTTCTTCTCTTCAGCGGCGGCGGCTGCCGGCGCAGCACCGCCAGCAGCAGCTGGCGCGGCGCCACCCACCGGCATCGACGACAGCTTCTCGCGACCTGTAACCAGGGGATTAGGGATTTAGATAAAGATTCTAACAAAACTACTTGATTTCTGCTATTTTAACATTTTCAGGTCAGGTTTTTATGCATCAAGATTTTTCAGTCGAAAGATGGTGTATTTTATGTTATATCATCATTAGAAAAATCATTATTTATGGTCAAGATGTACCATACACACAATGGTAGAACAGTTATAATTATAGCAGCAGAATCTCTCTCATGATTTTAACATTGTTTTGTTCTATAATTAACTTTGTGGCAATTTTCATGGTAATTGTTTTTTTTCTTTATTTCAGGGAATAGTTTTGTTTGAATTAAAATATATAATATATGATAAATTGCCTTAAATTGAAAACATGCAAATATTCAATTGATTATAATTATGTGTATGTATGACTGCTACATACATGCATTCATTATAAAGTTTTTTTTAATTTTTATATTCCAATGAATTTTTTGGACAATTTTAAAATTTGAAAGTTTAATTTTAACACAATAAATATGGTGAAATCTGTATACAAAATATTTACACATACTTAGAGAAAGAATGACAGTATATTAAGAAAAAAAAAAAAAAAAAAATAATTGATATAGATTTTCAAATTTCAAACATATTTATTCTATATTAATATAATAAAATTGAAGAGTTTGTTTATTTGAACACACTAATCTCTGTTACCAGTCAGATTTGAAAAATTATTTTTGAAAGAGAAATCCTTTCTTTAGAAATGCATTATCAAATAGGTTATAGGATAGTTAAATTTGACTTTCTAGTTGTTTACATATATTTTGAATACACAAACGGAACTTTTACATCACATTAAGTCGCATTTGTATATTTTTAAAGTTGTAGGCTATTTAAAAATAATGATAAGACTACAAACGCAGGGGGTAAAACATATCTTCTCGTATTTTACATACCCTGTGCGATCAGCTCCTCCACGCTCTTGCCATTTAGCTCGGCGATGACCTTCTTCAGTTTCTCAGTATCGGCCTCAATGCCCACTGAGCTGAGGATCTTCTCAACATCAGCGGCAACGGGGGCTGCCTTCCCACCAAGCACAGCCAGTAAATACGCGGCCACGTAACGCATTCTAGAAATATTATTAAGTATATAAATTTTATGACAATAAATACTGTAAAAAAAAGAGTAAAGTTCCAGAACAGAGTATATGAGGCAACAGACAGGCATAACATACAGAAATTTGCCAAAATAAGTATATTTTTTTATTGGAAGAATCTTGAATGGTAACCCCCTCCTAACTTCTATGCTTAGATTTACTGACGCTTTATTAGTGATGGGGTACTAGTAAAGAATGATTAAAAGTTTTTTTTTTATGCAACTTAGAATAGCAAACAAGCTGACGGCCCACCTGATGGAAAGTGGTAACCGTCGCCTATAGACATGAGCAGTACCATGGACATAACAAAGTATACTGTTTCATCCATGATACCCACCACGTGTTGCCATTCCTAAGGACTCGGATGTTATTCCTCTGCACCCAGTAAATTCATGCCATACCCCACCCTTCAAATTGAAACACAGCTATGCAAACACATCTGCTTCACGGTTGAAACACGAATGGGACAGAGGTACCCAAGCAATCGACTTCTGTACAAAGTCTCCCTCTGGTAGATAGATGAAGATGGAGCAGGTCAGTTAGACCATTATGATAAATTCATCAAAATTAATCACAATGGTTTACAGCGAACTAAGTGTAGGTTGATCTATTAGAGTATATTGCTAGCAATGGCCCTGTTAGTGTTAACAATTCCTTTAATAGATATATTAGCAATGGTGACTAGTGGCCCCACTGTTAGCAATATGCACTACCATGTGGTTCCCGCTGGAAACTATTGTAGTTAATACTTAATGAATTCATCACAATAGGCTAACAGATCCACTTTCATTCTCATCTATCAACCTGCAACGTTAGTGCAATATTATTAGACTGTTGTATTATAATTCATTTAAAAAAACCTGCCAAATTAAATATAGAATTTGTACAAGATGTATTTTGACCATTTAGAAACCCAGATAAAACGGATCACTGTTCTGTTACATCTGAACAGCTTATACTGATAAAGTACCATTTTACTATCTTATTTTTCGTAATTTTAAAACATAAAAAGTTAAACTGATATTTTATTTGAATTTTTTAGATTCCAATCTATTCATCAAATCCACATGTTGCTACATCAATTATTTTTTTATGTATATGCCGAAATGACCTATAAAGCATGTGAACTTAATTAAATAATCGTAAGTATAAACATATATTTGAAATATTAAAAAAGTAGCAATAAGAATGGTACAAGTTAATCATTTTAAATTTTAATATGTTTTAAGCATAGCATAAAGATCTCATTTGGACTAAATCAATTAATGTAATAAATAACAAAAACATAAGAAAACTGGTTGGGAAATAAATAATGCTTGGTTTAAATATAGAACAGAATTCTAAAAAATTCAAAACAATGTGTCGAGTTGTTGATTTTGAGGTTATGTACAAAATTAAACATTAAGAAGTTAAGGTAGATAAAAACGAAAGAACATTAATATAAGAGAGAACTGTATGATTAGGCACTTATTTTTTGATTAATTTTTAATAAAAAAATACAAAATCAAGAATTACTCTAGACCAATTTCAGGCAAGTTGCAATGGCGCACATTTTACATCTAACTTTATCTGGTACTTTTCTTGTAGATTTACACTAAACATTATTTCCAATTGATATAATAGTTATTCTAAATTAAAGCTATATTAATATTTTTGAATAAAAACTTACTTTTAAGTCCTAACGACACGAAACGTGTAATGCCGATACAGAACAAAACGTTCGTCTTCAACAAAATGTCAAAGAGAAAGAGAAAACCAAGGCGTCATCGCGTCGCGGCATGTCATATAAACGACAGTATGTCAGCTATGTCATATTGACATTGACATTATTTTATTTGATTTGACTTGCGTCTCAGAGTAGCCAACATTAAAAATATTGTAATCTTATTGGCCTTTTTTTATACGAACATTGGGGCTAATTTTGTGATATCATTTCTCTAAACTTATCCCTTAATCTAATATTTCCATTTAATAATTTCGTGAAATTATTGTTTTATCAACTGTCATAAACTAGATTTATAATATTCGTTTAAAGCTATTAGTTCATTTTTGCACTTACATTAATGATTTCGTTGTGATATTAAGTTGAAATTTTAATGTTTAGAGAAATGGCATCTCATTATCAGCCCTATTATTAGTTGTATTTAATTTATATGGTTTTTGAACTTTTGGTTGTATTATTTGACTTATTCTTTTTTGTAAATAGATCTCTCTTGGACTTACATAAAAGTTTTACTTGGAAATTTGTGATTCCACATCGAGCCAATTAATTTTATTTAATTTTTAACAACGTATGTTGATAGCACAGGTGGGGTTACCATTTTATTATTATCCTTCAAAATATCCTTATTACTAGTAATATTCCCTATTATTTCGACTCCACAAGGTTTTTCCTGAAAATCATCGTGGCTAATTCTTTGTTAAATTTGGAATTAATTACAATGGGTTAACTGACCTGCTTTCATTTTCGCCTGTCATTTCTCACCTAGGTGCACTATTAGCATATATCGATGTTTCAGACGGGTTTACTATTCAATTCTATTGTATTCAATTCTATTCTAACGTACGTATGAAGGGGGGAAAGGGATTGTTAGTAATGGAGACTGTGAATCCCATTGTTAGCAATATACCCAACCAGATCGACCTCCTCGCGGTTCTCTCTGGAAACTATCATGGTTAATTCCTGATGAATTCATTATGATGAGCTAACTGACCTGTTTTTATTCTCATCTGTCACCCTTCACTAGTGCTCCGCCAGCGTGTCCCGTTAGCGCAGGCGGGGCTAACATACCATTTTCACCCATCAAAAAAATGTACGTATGTAGTATGACAACATCAAATTAATCGCATAGTTAAGGGATCATAGTACGAAGCGCCATCTGTTTCTAAATTTTGTCAACCGACCAGTTTCATTGAATTTGGAAGCATAAATAGACACAGCAGTAACAACTTTTTGATAATGATACTAAAAAGATATAAAAATATGAACAACTACATTAAATTGCATTAAAATAAAATAAAACATATGGAAATAAAAAAATTGTTATAATAATTAAATTAATTTGTAATTTAATTTGAATTTAATTAAATTGATGAAATTGAAATTGAATTATTTAAATTTTTATGAAAATTTAAGGATCAACGCCCTCCTCGCTTCTAATTGCTGTGCCTGACAGGGTCTACAATGTACTTTATCCATTATTAACATTTTTCATAATAATATTGTAGAATGCAATAAATTGAATTAAATTGAAAAAAAAAAACTTGAAACACCGTGCCCCTTAAAGTTTTAAGTTATTGGTTAAAGCTTTATTTATCTATATAGTATTGTACCAAATGAGCTCTTTCTTACCAGTATAATTATTTTCGTTATTTTAACGTGGTTAAGCACTTATGTTTTTAGTATAATTTTTAATTTTAATTCATTTATTACGATAGTATTTTAGGACAGTACTTATTTATATTTGTAATAATTTATGTCAAGTATGGATTACAAAATAGCGAATTATAAAATTATTGATGTAATTAAGGTAACATCTTTTTTTAAATGATAATGATATACCTGCGTACTTGTCAGTTGTTGATTTCATGTTTTTTTTTTACATTACGTTCTCGCTATCACAGCAAAGTAAATTCTATTTATAGACATACAATTCTGCTTTTTAGATTAAAATAGATACTTTCAACTTAATAGATACTTCTACAAAACATTTCGTCATTCACAGCTGTCAACCTTTTGTCATGATTAAAGTTAAAGGTTTTTTTTTATCGAAAATAAGTTGCTTTTTTATTTATAAAGTTTTTGTAACAGATCTTTATTATTATTAGTTGTTGTTTTCTGTAGGTGTGTGTACACTCACATTAAAAATTCAAACTACTCCCTTGAGCACTTTTGAAATTATGATTTTTTGCGCCCCTCTGCTGTTAAGACTAATTACTGCACATTAATAACTGAGCCTTATCAGGGAAATATAATTTATCTGGATTCTGTGAAGTTTTTATCTGTACCAACCATAAAATGTTCGGTATGATTTATTTGTTTCGCTTGTTTAATAACTGTGCAAATTAATATCAATAAGGCTTGCTGCCCACCAACGATTTCTTCAGTTTTTTTTAGGATCGGTAACGCTCGGGTAATGTTCTCGGTATTGCAAGCGTTTATAGGCTACGGTAATCGTGTACTGTCAGGTGGGCTGTATGCTTATTTGCTACCTCAGCTGTGTAAAAAAAAATTGCAAATTGGGTTATGCGAGGTTGGTAGAGACTGCATACATAGATAAAGATAGACATGGATAGTATTTTAATGTATGGCTATAATATAAGTATAATAAAATAAATACATTCTTATGGTACCAACTGCGTTAATACTAAACTACTTATTTACGTTAAGAACGTTAATACTAAAGTTTATCTCAAATGAAATTATCTGAGATAAACTTTAGAATTAACGTTATATTGAAATGGAGGTAATATATAAGTAATTACTAATATATTACCTCTTAAGCTTACTCAAGTATAACAACATAGAAATTGTGAACTTTTAAGCAATTGAGAAATTTTAATATTATTGATTGATTGAACTAAAACGTTTATTGTACAATAAGTTGTATATAAATCATTCTATATAATCCTATACAATTACTGACAATTTTGAACCTAGGTACTTCATAACTTCTGAAATTTTATATAATAACGTTTTTTGCCATCAAGATCCAAAGTTTTGCAATACTCTTACTGAATAATTAACAAGCTATAAATAACATACAAATATCTTTTTAAACTTGTATATATCATAAATAATACACCAGTTTAAAAAGATCTTCGGATATTAGTTTTTCAATCACAGGTATCACAAATGGCTAAGCTCAAAGTTTAGTATAAAGATTAACTGTAGCTTTTAGATTAATGAAGGTATTTCGGTAGGCGAAGCTACAGGGAACATCTAGTATCCCATAAAACATTCACGAGCATATTAAAACTTGAATCGCAAGCATTAGCTTAATGCTATAAGTTTCAAATGCAGTGAAACCCTCGCTAGCGTGAACCAGTAGGTAGCTACTTCCTAACTTGGCACTCTAATTTGTGGGAAGCAATTCTTCTGAGCGCTAGTTTTATGGAACAAGCTTTAACTAAATGGATTTGAGTGCACCTCACGCTTGAAAAACTAACTTCGAAGTTTGAACTATGAAAGTACGGGCTCCCTAAAGATCTGGAGTAGGTAAATTTATCAGAAGTCGATAATTATGTAAGTTCTACTAAATGTATTTCGATTTTTAAGCGATTTTAACAAAGAGGTTTTAGTTTTGTTCATAAATTATTGTATGTATGTTATGTTATCTTTGGTAATTATGATTTGAAATTAATATTTAATAGTTATTGTAATCCATAGAATTTACACCCGTGTTGATAATTTTGAAATCTTTGATTGATTCCAAATCACTTTTATTATCATTAGTCTTTTCCCTTTGTTTTTTTTTGGACACCTTATTGCAGAGCAAAATTTATTTCAAAATTTTAGTTAATTAAATAACTTTAGTGAGCATTGTAAAACTTGTTTTCTAAAATGTATTTATAAATGAAGCAACATTTTTGAATAGGCGTCGTAATTCCGATTGTCAGTGGTGTTTATTTAAGTTGGACATGATTCGTCATGATACAAAAGTTTCTTAATATTGGCTAGGAATGGTAACATAGAAAATGTAAATATTTTTAATGTAATAATGTAGGCTTGATTACATTATCAGTGCTAATGTAAATGAATAAAATATAAAGGAAAATAATTACAATGCCACTTAGCAATTATGATGAAATTGTTAATAAATTTATTGGAAAAGTTAATTTGATTTATAACAGAAATCACTGGAATCAGTCGAGTCTGCCATTTCATTAGTCACTAAAATATTTCTAGCTTCAAAAGAGAATAGTTTTACGATCGTAATGCATTTCTATTTTCTTTATGTAATAAATAATAATCGAAGAGAATAAATAGCAATTGATTTGCATTATTTATTATAAACAAACACTCAAAATACTAAATATTAAAAATTTTTATTATTAAAGGTAGGTAGGTTAACCGTGGTCCCAGCATAGAATAGGCCACCCCTTCTTTTCTCATTTTTTACTATCTCTCCCTTTAGTAGTCATATTATTTTCCCTTTTTCTCTCTTCATATTCCTTCGTTATTATCTCCTGTCGTATGTGTGCTATATTTATAGGCGACGGTTACCATTTTCCATCAGGTGGGCCGTCAGCTTGTTTGCCTTTTTATGTTGCATATAAAAAAAAAATTGTTATTTCGTACCTCTTCAATGACTTCAAAAATTATTACAAAATTTGGTATAGACGTAGGACTTGGAGTAAAGAAAGATATGTTTTTTTTATACAACTTAGAATGGCAAACAAGCTGACGGTCCACCTGGTGGAAAGTGGTAACCGTCGCCTATGGACATGAGCAGTACCATTGGCATAACAGAGTATACTGTTTCGCCCATGATACCCCCATGCGTTGCCATTCCTGAGGACTCAGGTGTTACTCCTCTGTACCCAGTAAATTCACGCCATATCCCACCCTTCAAACCGAAACACAGCCATGCAAACACAGCTGCTTCACGGCTGAAACACGAAATATATTCCGGCGGAGTTGTGTAATTAATTTAATTATTAAATAAAACAACAATTTATATACTATAGATCTTTATTATACATATATAAACGTTCGTATACGTATTTCAACTATATACACTATGTACATACACTTATGTCATCTTTTACAACGACATATCCTCACCGCGGCCCTCTTCAGGCCCGCCACGTAATGTATCACTTGTTCCTGCCAACAAAATATTCCATTATCTTGTCTCGAGTTTTTGTATGAGTACATACATGTAGAATTATTTGATAAATGATTATAGTCAACTGGAATATAAATAGCTTTCAACCTATGGGTGTTTTATAACGAGCGACATTAGGAAATCTCATGGCTTTATCCGTTTCACTGCTATAAGACATTATGAAGGTATTTTTAAATCTATTTCAAAAGTAAGTCCTCAATTCTACTGCATTTTTCGTGTCCAATGATATCTTCGATTGTTACGAATCGATTTTGATGATTCATTGAACAGTGAATTAAGAAAATTTTGCTCAATTGGACGGATCGAGAATTCAGGAACTTGTTTACGCAAAGCAACACCTCTGTGAAAGCGCTCTGTCTATCCCACCGTTAAGACTCACTGGCAAAATGTCTTATTCATTAGCAGTAAGGGACAGAAGTAAGTAGAACAGGCGTGACAGATATGTACGTAAGAAGGTAAAACAATGGTTAACATTGGAGTCACTCCAGTGCCAATTCTAGTTTTAACTTTATTTATTTATTTAATTCTTTATTGTACACACCAGTTATAAGAATATGACAGAGGTAATCAAATGTACAAAGGCGAGCTTAACTCTGATAGAGTTCTCTTCCAGCAACACCCAAAGTGGAAAGGAGCATCAATGTCAGCGGGTGGAGCGGTGTACAATATTGTGACAATTTTTAAACAGACAAAATTTATCTTTAGTTTGCTTTTTGTATTAAGACAGTATATATCTGCGTTAAACTATAATTCTTTATATGCGAAATAAAAGGGGAAATCCCGAAGTAAAATATTAGCATTGGGATTTTCAAACACCCTATTTTGAAATAAGACATAGGAATCACGTAAAGATCAGAGAGAGACTCGGTAAAGTAGTCGTCTGCATGGGTGCCAATGATCCACTCGTGTTTCTGCTGTCAAAAAGCTGTAATCTTTTTCGATGGATTATAAATAAAGTGGAAACCTGGCCTGCGTTATCGGTATACATTGGCTTGGCTCCAGTGAGGGATGATAGGTGACGATAAAAAAACACGTCAGTTAGCCTAGCGTGACGAATTCACCTGGAATTAATCACGATGGTTACTAGGGGGAACCACTTGGCGATAGACCTTACTGTATACCCTATATTGCTAGCAATGGGGCTGGTAGTATGTATTACTAACAATGCCTTTCCCCCTAAGCAGTGTAGTTACGTAGCTGTATTTAGATTTGAAAATAGAAAACCTTAAACTTCAGGGATGGCAATTCAAGAAGGGTATTACAGTACATTCTGTATGGGGGGGGAGAGAAGGAATTGTTAGTAATAGGGAGGTTAGTCCCCATTGCTATCAATATACCTTATCAGGTCGATCTCCACGCGGTTCTCTTGAAAACCATTGTAACTAATTTATAGTGAAATTCGTCACGATTGGCTAACTGACCTGCCTTTTCACCTTTACCAATCGTCTCTTACTGGTGCCCCGCCAGTATATACTATTGCTATTCCATTATCAACCATTAAAAAAGTACATTCTGTATGACCATGAGGTATGCTGTTCATATTTACAGTATCGGTTACCACTTCCCATCAGGTGGCCACAGCTTATTTGTCTCTAAGTCGTATAAAAATCATAAACTGTATCGCCACCAGCGAAGGAAACTCACCTGCATGAGATTGAAGCACATAGCAGCCAGTGCCATCCCAAGCATCAGATACATGGAGCATACGATGAATGATGTCTCTATTCGGGGGGTGTAGACTCTCTCCCCCGGGACGAAATCCCCGAACCCGATACTGTAAGGAAATATCAATATGAATGGTATTTTCAGACATGTTTTTTATACTATTAACGTGTCAAACAATGCCAGTCATCATGTTTGGTGAAGTATACTTTTACCAAAGACAGTCTGTACCAGGGGTTCCCAAACTTATTATGTCTACTGCCCACTTTGAGAATAAATTATTTTTTAGTGCCGCCATTTTTTCACCTACATAAAAACCACTATTACTTCAAGATCAACAAATCACCGCCCAAGCCTCTACACAACGCCCCATTTTTTTCTGGGTCTCTTACTTCACCCCCCCCCCCCCTTAGGCAGCAGCCCCCACAAGGGGGCATTATCGCCTACTTTGGAAAAGGCTGGTCTGTACAAAAGTCCACTTATGTTTCTGCCTTGAAACAGCTGTGCTTTCACAGCTATGTTTTGGGTTTGAAGGATGGGATCGTCATATCATCATCATATCAGCCATCAACTGTCCCCTGCTGAACATAAACCTCCCCCATAAAGGAGGGTTTCGCCAGTAGTTACCACGCTTGGCAGGTGGATTGGTAACTGCTAGGCTTTGGTGATGTTTTAGGAGAAACGCTGCCCTCGACTGTTAAGTTCCCTAAGTCGCCTCTTATGACACCCACGGAAAAGGATGGGGTGGCCTATTCTATGCCGGGGCCTACACGGCGAAGGATGAAAATTGATGTTGAAATCATAGGGTACGGAGACATAATACCTTAGTCCACTGGAATGGCAACGTATAAGGTATATCATGAGCATCAGATAATTTCCCGTAATTCCCATTTCTATAGATTACTACATTCCATCAGTTGAGTCGTCTGTTTGTTTGTCATTCTAAGTACTACATAGAGACCCATATCTTATTCTTACAAGAAATTCTGCTCACGGTTATTATGTACTTGTACTGTACAATCCAAACTGCGGCTATCAGATGGTGAGGCGGCGTGGCGCGGTATATCACTTTTATTGTAAAAAGATTCCTAACCACAGACTACATTTTAATGTAATAATTATCGGTTTAACTTACGGCTGATTAGGTCGAAAAAGCTCGACTAGTTTCGGGATCAATTCGTGATTCTTAGTCATGAGCGACTGTGACGCGAGCACGAGTGTGACTACGTGCCTCGGCCACGCTAGTATTTTTCTTTTTATATAACTTAGAATGGCAAACAAGCTAACGGCCCACTTGATGGAAAGTGGTAACCATCGCCTATAAACATGAGCAATACCATGGACATAACAGAGTATATTATTTCGCCCATGATACCCCCTCCATGCGTTGCCATTCCTGAGGACTCAGATATTATTCCTATGTACTCGGTAAATTCACGCCATATCCCACCCTTCAAACCGAAACACAGCCATGCAAACACAACAATAAAGCAATTATTACATTAAAACACTATATTACTAGATTTGTCTTTGATGAAACACACCTACTGAGCGATATGAAGCAGAAGTAAGCGCCGTCCAGCTGGTCCCACTGCTCCCACATACCGAATATCATTGAGCCAAACATTATGTAACTGTAAAAGATCTAGTTGTTATTATAGACGAGGTACGAGTAACCACCTGTGCTGAGGAAGGGAATGTAATGTAATGTAATATAAATTGGATTGTAATTGTAAAGAATTGATCTTTTCCGGGCTTAGCCTTTTATTTGGGTTTTTTTTATACAACTTAGAATGGCAAACAAGCTGACGGCCCATTTGATGGAAAGTCGTAACCGTCGCCTATAGACATGAGCAGTATCATGGACATAACAGAGTATACTGTTTCGCCCATGATACCCCCCATGCGTTGCTATTCCTGAGGACTCAGATGTTATTCCTCCGTACCCAGTAAATTCACGCCACATCCCACCCCTCAAACCGAAACACAGCCATGCAAACACAACTGCTTCACGGTTGAAACACGAATGGGACAGAGGTATCTAAGCAATCGACTTTTGTACAAAGTCTCCCTCCGGGTCGTTGTGTGTATGAGTCGTGGCTAGCACAGCCAGCCCAGCTATGCCCAGAAGCACAAAAGCTTCCTACGATCTTTAGAGGCCTCACTAAGCGACCTTACAGTTCCGAGGATTTCTAAACGTTGAGCGGCCACAGCTTCACATTCTAGGATTACGGGAGCAGCCGTTTTGACGCCGAAGAAAGAAGGATATCACGGATGAAACAGTATACTCTGTTATGTTTGTTGTCACTTTCTATTAGATGGGCTGTCAGCTTGTTTGCCATGTATATATTTATGCAATTTAGAAATAAATAGATATAGTTATAAATTGAATTATGCAGACAAATATTTTAATTTTGGAGCGTACGAGATAGTAAAGAGGCACAGCTCATTAACAAGAAGTTGTTCTGCCCGATTGTTCCAGAAATTAAGCGTAATTAAATCAAGGAAGGGCCGTGTTGACTGGAACTGAACAACGGAAGGGCTATTTCAAAATTTCCTAAAATTCATCTCAACATTCTTTATTAGATATTCTTAAAATAGACAAAATGTAAAAATAGCCAAAAGAAACCAGTCTAAAGTGTATTACAGTAGCTTTAAATGCAAAAAAAAGGAAGTTTTAAATTTAGGTTCATATTAGTTGTTAACTGTCCACTGCTGAATATACACTGTCCTCAAGGGTTTTTTTTAATGGATGGAAATGGAATGGCACCCCGTCTGCGTTATTGGGACACGCTGGCGGGGTATGCTGGGGGCGGGGGTGCCGTCCCTCGAACTTAAATTCCTTTAGTTGTGTCTTACGACATCCATATGCAAGGAAGTGATGATCCATTCTATGTCGGGAACACACAGTATATATACATATGTATATTTGAATATTAGGTAATATTCATATATATAATTTTCATTGTTTTTTTGTCAGCAAAATCAATCACTAAAATCGGTACGTACAGACTTAACTATAAGAAAAGAACATAAAATACTTTTGGAAGTGGATTAAAATTATCTCTTTGTCTAAACAATTGAGTCAGAATAGAGACTACAACGACAAAATTTCAGGGTACGCAGGTGTATATCCTTAATCCGCAGGAATGGCCAACGCATGAGACATATCATGGCCAACATTGTACATTCTAAGATGAGGTTTATGACTACATGCGATGATTACCACTTTCCATCAGGTGTGTCAAAAAAACTGTTAATTCTTATAGGTTTTTTTATTTATTAATTAGTACATATATGTGTACATGGCAGACTTAATGCTAAAAGCATTGCCTCGCAGTCAACCATAGGGAAGTGTCAGAATACTCGAAGATATCTTACCCGACTAGAATAAATATGCAGACACTCAGCGGCACTGTAATGGTTTGGGCGTCGAAAGTCACGTAACTAAACTCGCTGGTCTCTGGAGTGATGTTCCGCATCCAGGGTTCCGACCAGCCCCTCAATCTTGGGTCCATACGGTCCAGATAACGTGGTGGCCCCCACGGCTGCGGCATGGAAATAGTCCGCATGTATTTTGGTCTTCTGCGGATATAATAATAATATTAATCACAGAAAAGTATTCCAATTTGGACATATTTTCTCATATCTTTTATTCACGTATGGGGTCAGCTAAGCTGTTGCATGTTGATTCCAATGATCTTCAGTTCTTTCCCCTGCCTTATACCATCATTTTAGAGATCCTATGTGTACAATTTTGATATAAATGTAGTGTAGTTTCATATCTTTCACTATCATCACTACCATAGGCTACATATAAAGAATGCCCTATAGTAAATACAAATCGACCATGGGAGTGAGTTTCCGTGTGGTCCCGGTATAGAATAGGCCACCACTTCCTTTCCCGTGGGTTTCGTAAGAGGCGACTAAGGGACGGCGAGGCATGGGCAGCAGCGTCTCTCTTAAAACATCTCTAAAGCCTAACTGCGTCTGCCAATCTGCCTGCCAAGCAACAATTATAGGCAAAACCCTCCTAGGGGGAGGCTGATATGATGATGATGATGATGGGAGTAAGCATTTACTCCTTTATTTATAGAACGTCAAACCTCTCTTAAACCTATTTTAGCTACTAAAGTAACTAGTTTTTTATGGAGGAATGGTCAATTTTCGCTCATTTCCTTAAATAACTTCTAAACAGTTTTAAAATTATAAATCAGAAAATATTTGAGTATTTAACAACGATTTTTTTCTGTTTATATGTTACACGATATAAAGTCTTTGGGTCCAAATTTTAAGTCAATCGCTCCAGTAGTTTCGAAGTAAATTGGCTGTGACAGATAGAGGGTTAGACATGCGATTGATCCTATAACGAGTCTGTGATTTTTTTTTAAATTTGATGATAATGGAATGGTAACCCTGTTCACACTATCGGTATACACTAACGGGGCACCAGTGAGGGATGATAGGTGAGGATAAAAAAGCAGGTCAGTTAGCCCCATCGTGATGAATACACCAGGAATTCAGCACGACGGTTTCCAGGGGGAACCGCGTGGAGGTCAACCTGACAGGGTATATTGCTCCTTCCCCACAGGAGTACGTGTTGTCCTTCTGAGGTACGAAACCCTGAAAAAGACGAAAAACCACTTGTGCTAAAAATGTCACGAACCTGAACATGTAAGGTGGGACTCCGTGGGGCAGCCTGTATTCGGGGGTGGCGTCCGAATCCGAGTAGCCCGACCTCCACCCCGCGGGACGTTCTATACTTTCGGCCTCACTGCTTTCCACCTGAAACAAATATAGAGAGAATAAATATTAGTTATTTGTTTAGGACTAATATATTAGAATTAAGGTAACTTTATTCTGGTTAATATATATATATGTTTATCGAATATATATTTTATTTGCTAAACACAGATGTGTTGGTTGTACCGCCTAAAAATATGTATTTAACACTCAATCAAAATTTATTGCTATAATTAACTCATGATCGTGACTTTATGTACTGTTTCTTCCCGCGGTTTTAGTCGTGTATATTAGGTATTTATTAAGTTAAAACTGTCTTTAACTGTCCACTGCTGAACAAAAGTTTCCCCCTTGGGGGGTTCTGCCAGTAGTTGCTACGCTCGGCTGGCGGATTGGCAACCACAGTTAAGCTTTGAAGACGTTTTAAGTGACACTGCTGTCCACCCCTCGTCCTCCCTTAGTCGCCTCTTATGACACCCACAGGATAGGAAGGGTTGGCCTATTCTATGCCGTGTGGCGTGTATTAGTATGTAAACTTAGTATATAAAGTATTATTTTTAAATCTTATATATATATATATATATATATATATAAACGTTCTTTAAAAGGTCTTTAAATTGAGGCAAACTAGATTAATTCTTTATAACAGTTTAGTACGTAGTCGTTTGGAGTTTGCCTCTCCCCCTTTCCTTCTATCCACCTTCTATTATAATGTTCTTCATCTCAAAGAATAGAAAATATCCAACATTTTCACTAGACTCAATATATATATATATATATATATATATATATATATATATATATATATATATATATATATATATATATATATATCGTATATAAAGTACCCTATATGTTAAGACAAAATCTATCTGTACATCAAATTTCTTTGACATCCATTTAGTTGTTTAATCGTCATTGGGCATACATAATATATAACATAAAAAATACAAAAAAATACATAACACACAAACATGTTTAAAAACCTTCACATTTTCAATATTGATAGGATGTAGGACGATAAGGTAGGTACGTTTTAGTACATATTTAAACATTTTAACGTTCAGACTAAAATAAAATATAAAAGCTATATTTGCGTTTGTAAAATTTACAAATACGTTTCGTAGAAATATCAATATTTAGAAAATGAAAAACGCTTTTCCTTTATTTTATTTATGTAACTTGTAGTTCGAGGAAATTAATTTCAAACGCATAATTTGTAATATGTATACGCTTTTCGATTTGTTTCCAATAGCAATTATAATGTAAAAATAATTTCTTTCAAAAATGACTAATGTGAGATAAATCACTTTATTTTCAATCGACTTCAAACAAAAGTTGATTTTTAATTCGATCGTATTTATTTATGTTTGTTCTTTCGTAACTCCGTCAGTTGTAAACTTGAAGATTTGGATTTTTTTTTATTTTTATTTAAAAATAGCGCTCCGCTCCGGCTTCGCACGGGTGCACATTACATCACGTCACATTAGAAACCTCTAAATTTATCAGTGTTCCTCTACAATATTATGCATGTATTATACAAATAAACCTTCCTCTTGAATAACTTTATCTATTAAAAAAAAAACTTCTTCAAAATCTGTTGCTTTAAAATAATGTTGTAGTTTTAAAGATACATAGGGACATATAGCATACATAGGGACGGACAGACAGCGACGGCGACTTTGTTTTATACTATGTAATGATACACTTACAGATCGGTCCCATATAAATTTAATCAAAGTAAAAAATTTTAGTTTTGTAATCAATATAACCGGTTTTACTACAATTTAAAAAAAAAAAAACCTGTTTTGTTTTATGGAACACAAACAGAAATTATAACGTGAAAAAGAGCAGCTAAGATGTTTGTCTTGTCCCGATGGTGTATGACAATGAGAGAAGTACTTTACAATATACCTGAGTGGGAGGAAGGGATTGTTAGTAATGAGGATTATCTGTCGCATTGCTAGCAATATGCCCTATAAGGTCAACCTCCCAGGGGACCACCCCTGGAAACCATCGTGCTGAAATTCTGGTGTATTTATCACGATGGGCTAATTGACCTGCATTTTCATCCTCACTGGTGCCCCACCAGCTTATGCCGTTAGCGCAGGCGGGGTTACCATTCCATTATCATCCATTAAAAGACCGTCGCCTATAGACATGAATGGACATAACAGAGTATACTGTTTGGCCCATAATGTCATGTTTTGTTTATTATAACACAAAGGTAGGTAAAAAGGGAGGTAAAGAGGTTTCTTCAGGGTCGGCAACGCACGCGTAATACCTCTGGTATTGCAGGTGTTCATAGGCTACGGTAACCACTTACCATCAGGGGGGCCGTATGCTTGTTTGCCACCTCAGTAGTATAAAAAAAAAGGTAAACCACCAAAAAGAAAAATAAAGTCAAGAAAATCTTATAAAATAATATTGTATTATTATCAATTAAAAATATATAAATACCTGAGTACGGAACCTCGCCACCCGTCGCCTGGTGAACCCTGGACATCCTCGGCATAGGCACACCAGCGCGTACAGGCATTTGAACCAACGCGCCAGTAGTTCACCTACGTAAAACAATACTTTATTCATATTATACTCATCATCATCATCAGACCAGCCGTAAACTGTCTGCAGACGTCAGTGCTGGACATAGGCTTCCCCAATTAGGGGAGTGTTGCAGTAGTTGCCACGCTTGGCAGGCGGGTTGGCAAGCGCAGTTAGGCTTTGGTGATGTTTTATGGGGGACGCTGCTGGTCATATCTCGACCATTAAATTTAATCAGCTGCCTTTACGACATATAACATAAATGACTGTTCATGTCTATAAAATACATGGGATTCCATGGGTATAACAGAGGATATTGGGTCGTCTATATATTCTACCTTTCATGTGTTGCCATTCTTGAAGACTAAGATGTTAAGCCTCTGTACCCTGTAATTTGATAGTAATCCTACTAGGAATACACAGAAAACACCTCGCCCTCCATATGGTGGCTCCTGGAAACCACTGTGGTTAATTTTTGTTGAATTCGTCACGATGGGTTAACTGGCCTGCTTTTATCTTCACCTATCACCCCTCACTGGTGCCCTGCCATCATATACTGATGGCGCAGGTAGGGTTATCATTCTATTGTTACTCAAAAAACAGACAGTGGACTGATACTCCTGACTACCCCATGTTGACATACAGCCACAGTTAGTCGTGAGTATATTATCTCATTACTTACCAACGTTACTCAAATACAACAGAAATAACGGCATTCCCAGTAACGTATACAGAATTGTTGTAACTTTCCCCCAGTTTGTCCTCGGTGATAAATGTCCATAACCTGAAATGGGAAATGTGATTTCTGAGCAACTCACAAATTAATCACTGAAGTGGCAAGTGGCAATAATCTATTTGATAGTAAACGGGTATGATAGCTTATGAACGCCTGCAGTATCCTGGAGACTTTACTAGAATATTCTGCATGATATCAAATTCAAATTAAATCATCTTTATTCGAATAGACAAGCACTTTTAAATTGTATTTTTTTTTTAAATCTAATGCAGGGTTCGGAAAGTAGTCATCTGTTGAGATTAGCTCGCAAGAAACTCAATAGTTATCTTTTAAATCTCTTTTAACATTATTTGTATTTATTTAAATGTACAATTATACTATTTCTTAATATCAGAAACTAATTCAATGACATTGTGATCCGAGATCTTATAATCTCGTAATATTGTACTATGAGTAACAAATTTACAAATTTTTTTATTAAAATTGTCAATATATGAAGCACTGTCACCCATTACACGAGTGGGACTGGTCAAGAATAGAAAAGAAGAATTTATTTACTTTGAATACGTGATATAGATCCAGAAGGAGACGCTTATTAATGTATTTTTAGAAAATCCATTAAAGAATCTCTAGAGAAAATTTTGAGTGGGAACTCTTGAGAGCTTCAATTTGTCATTTCTTTATTTTGGTAGATTCCGAGTAGTTCGTTTCACATGGTCCAATGTCCTTCTTTTCAAATACTACCTGAGGAAGTGTTTGGTCATTTCCAATAAATATTAGTATTGTAGGAGTGCAAAATAATTTTTGGGTGTTCTAGCGAATGGTTCTTGAGTTTTAATAAGCTTATTTTGGCAGGATACCACTTATAAAGTAATTTTGTATGAGATTTTGAAAATGTCCGCAAAAAGAAAATGAACTATTTTTTGCTTGTTATATCTCCAGATGAATCCTGTTTTACTAATATTATGAATCGAAAAGTTTAGAAAAATGTTTAAACGTTTAGATATTTGTTACTCAAAAAATGAATTAATTTTTCTTAGTAACAAACATCTAAATGCTAAGATCCTAAGATAAGGAAATCTTAGGATTCCTTTTATCCTTTTTCACGCGGATAAAGACGCAAGATATAGTTAGTTTCGAATATTAATCTTTATAGGAACATCGTAGTATCCATTTTGAACCCTCTGCTGGTTATAGAATTTTACAACCAATTTAAAGCCAATCTTGTATAATGTTTGAAAACGGCAAATGTTCCAAATCTGGGCACGCCATGGGCCATTTTAGTGACGTTAAGAGAGTTTGCGTGAGGGTTATGCATTTTAAGTAGGTGTTTGGGTAAACCGTATCGTTAGTAAGCTCAGGTGATTAATTTAGCTAAATTGCTTGTTCGAACCTTTGTAAGTTTAGTGATCTTTAACAGAATTTAAAGCCAGTTGGCAAGAAACTGGCTTGTATCTATTATCGGGTCAAGTTTCTTGTGAGATAGGCAGACAGAAGTGCTAAATGACGACATCCGTGGCGTAGGGTTTGCACGTTGAACTGTGTAGTCAAATTTCCGGGTTTTATTCTTGATTGGGACAAATGTGGGAAACGAACTTACGAACTTTTCTAGACTGGATCTGGTCTGAGTGTTCTGGATTGGATAGCTTGAAGACAAGGGTATTGGCGTGATTGTGTGGCACTTATTTTTATTATAAAATGCCACAGATATGTCACTTGCTTCATCTACCTTCAAAATTCATATCAGGCATGCACACAGTTCAGACGACATAATTCATGTTGACGTAATTGCTTTCATCGTATCAACCCTTAACAGTCCACTGCTGAACATAAGCCTCCTCCTTGAGGGGTTTTGCTAGTAGTTGCCACGCTTGGCAAGCGGACTGGCAACCATAGTTAGGCTTTGGAGACGTTTTAAGAGGGACGCTGCTGCCAACCCCTCGCCCTGTCTTAGTCACCTCTTACGTAAACCACGGGAAAGGAAGGGTTAGCTTATTCTATGCCGGGGCCACACGGTACGGCATTTAATGTAATTAAATCATCAAAAAATACTTTGGAAGTCCGTTAAGAGTTTTATATAAGTATATAAAGAAAATACCTATAGTAGTGATGACAGTGAGTGAGTACAGGAAAGCGGATGAGAAACTCCACTGCCTGGATGACCTGCCACCGTCCCACCCGCGACGGACCGCCACCACTATTTTTTTCTGATAGTGGTGCAGTTCGATACTAATTCTGAAATAATTCAAAATGCGTTTAAGAAATAAGTATTAAGTGGATGCAAGCGCAATGTTCGGATAGTTCTAACGAGATTGAGTAAAGATCTCAATGTTGCCTGGAGCATGGAATTGAAGCCTCCAGGTGGCACGAGACAGTACTTGTACTATCATTTCCTTGTGCAGTAGCATACGAGTAAAGCATAATTAACTAGTAGACTTTCTCGTGGTCAGCAGTGAGATATCTTATGGGTTGTTATTATATAGTATTGTGGAAGAAACACGGGAAGAGAGAACTAAGCACGCAGTTACTTTGAAAGTGACCAAAAATCATCACAGCACAAGAATGTTTGTGATACCAAAGACATTCTTTGTGTGTTATTTGCTGTCGTGACTTAAAAGTACAGTGAAACTAGTTCCAGTATGTTTTTTAATACGACAATAGTAGCAATTAACTATATAATCATCTTGAAGCTAAGTAAATACCGTTGATCTAATGGACATGTGATAGCAGAAGCACAATTCTTGTATTCCCGACCTTGTAACATAAAGATTTTGAGTTAGAGTACACAGTAATTTCACTGTTATGTCCTTCAAATCGGAGAGCAATTATTGGTTTACAATTAGGGAGGATATCGCTTATTTTGATTTAAGCGGCGAAAACAAAGGATACTAGAGATTGCTGAGTGAACAGATAGAACAGTTTGACAAAGTCATGCATTATTTTAGTCAAGGTATTTTTTTTTCTTTGATGGATGAAAATGGTATGGTAACCCCGCCTGCGCTAACGGGATACGCTGGCGGAGCACCAGTGAAGGGTGATAGATGAGAATGAAAACAGGCCAGTTAGCCCATCATGATGAACTCATCAGGAATTAACCATGATAGTTTCCAGGGGGAACCGTGAGGAGGTCGACCTGGTTGGGTATATTGCTGGCAATGGGATACTTAGTTTCCATTACTAACAATCCCTTTCCCCCCTAGTAAAGGTATTACTGAATACAGAAATACCTTTATTGATGCATGACTTCTGAAGTGCCCCACTTGGATCTTGGAACCATTCTAGAGCTTTGAGCTTGATCTTGGGTATCACCAGATCGCGCTTTTCTCCGCTAAGACCATACCGAATGTACCATATCTCCTTTTTGAAATGCGTTAATGAAGTTTTGAATGGAGAACCTGAACACCTAGACAAGTTACAGATGAATCTATCGTATCATTTTGCTCAACAATCGTATGAGAAAAAATAAGACATCATACGTTGCTATCTCATTCTATCACATAAACTCACTAGCGACAACAATTCTATTAATGGATTCGTTTGTAACTCTTCTAGGGCTTGACGTCCTTACTTGTCTTTTAATGCAGTTTCATTGAAGAGGTTGAGCGCCAAGGTGACATTTTGCCAGAGATACTGGGCCGTGTTGTTTCTTTCTCGCGCCATGAGATTCACTCGCTCCATCTCGCTCGCACCTTCTATAGCTTGAAACATAAACGCTCCTGGAAGAACAAATAATTGTACGTTATCACGACAGCCAAAATAGGAAATTGTAACAAGGAATTTTGAGAGGCAGGCAAAGTAACAAGAAATGTAACATTTAAAACGTAATGTTGTGTGGGTGATACCTATCGGACTCAATTTAGTTCATCACTATAGTAACACGTTTTTTGCAATGGTAAACAAGCCGAAGGGTTGCCTTCTGTGGGCTGTTGGATGAAAAGGGAGAGAGGAAGAGAGAGACTGTACAAAAGTCGTTTGCTTGGCCACTTCTGTCCCATTTGTATTTCTATCGTGAAGCAGTTGTATTCGTATGGCTGTGTTTCCGTTTGGAGGGTGGGATATGGCGTGAATTTACTGGGTACAGAGGAATAACACCTGAGTCCTCAGGAAAGGCAATGCATGGGGGTATCATCGGCGAAACAGTATACTTTGTTACGTCCATGGTATTGCTCATGTTTATAGGCGACGGTTACCATTTTCCATCAGGTGGGTAGAAAAAAACAATTTTTTTCATTATGAATATAATATTATGTTTTGATAAGTTCAACCTTCTAATGGCTTAATCCGAAAATATCATGACTTTGTTAGTATTATCGTCTCAGTCGTTAATTATCCACTATTGAACTCCACCCGCGCTATCGGTATACACCGGCGGGGCACCAGTGAAGAATGATAGGTGAGGATGAAGCAGGTCAGTTGGCCCATCGTGACGAATTCAACAAGAATTGTTCACGATGGTTTCCAGGGGGAATCACGTGGAGGTCGACCTAATAGGGCATATTGCTAGCAATGGGGCTGTCAAACTCCATTGCTAATAATCCCTTTCCCTCCCTATTCGATTGGTTTGAAGTGTAATAAAGGCAGTGAAGTAGGGTAGAGTGGCATAACACCATGATCCTCAGGAATGGCAACGCATGAACTGTACTATGTCCGTCTGTTCTGTGATTTCCGTAGTCCTGCTAATGTTTGCAAATCATATTTAACACTTTCCATCAAGTAGACTATCTGCTTGCCATTCTAAGCGATATAAAAAAATGCCTACTACACTAAAATAGTTCTTCTCCAGCTTTCACAAACTGCTAGGGAGAATTATACATTTAGTACAAAATATTTTCATATAATTACGTATGACAGCATTTTTTTTTAATAGATGAAAATGGAATGGTAACCCCGCCCGCGCTATCGGTATACACCGACGAGGCACTAGTGAAAGATGATAGGTGAGAATGAATGCAGGCCAGTTGGCCCACCGTGATGAATTCGACAGGAATTGATATGATGGTTTTCAGGTGGAACCGCGTGGCGGTCGACCTGACCTGCCCTGACCCGAAATGACCCTCAATTGCTAGCAACGGGGCCATTAGATCTCATTACTAACAATCCCTTTCCCCCTGTATGATAGCAGCTGCTTATTTGAATCTAGGAAAGGAAATAGCACCTACAAGCCACCTATTTTATTATCATCATTTCTAGAGACAGTAATTACTGAGTTTGTCATTGATAAATAGCATTACATACATACATACATATCTGTCACGCCTGTCTCCCATTAGGGTAGGCAGAAACAATAGAATGCCAAATGCTTCGATTCAAACAAACCTCTTTCGCTTCCTACACATTCATCAATCTTTTCATATACGCTCGCCGGTTAACTTTTAATAAATAGCATTACTTTAATCAATTTCATTACTGAGTCATTACCATTCTTTCTTACATAAATTAATCACTAGAAATGATATGAAAATAGTACGCTTAGGTAATTAATCATATTTATTAAGTAAACTCTTAAAATTTGTAATTAACGTTGGCTGTTGGATGCATTTTTCTCTACAAAAAATACCGACTTCAAACCGGCTACTTATTATGATTAAAAAACTAAACTATTGTACAGACTTTAATAAAAATTTTACAGTATCAATTTAAAATTATAATTTTTTTTTTACAACACAGGGGGCAAACGAGCATGCGGCTCACCTGATGGTAAGTGACTACCGTCGCCCATGGTCACCCACAACACCTACGGCATTGCATGTGTGTTATATACTTTCAAATAGGAAACAAATTTTCTTAATCGGTTTATAAATGACGAAGTTCCGAGTCGATTGACAAATGAAATATACGAGTACTAATAAATAATGTGATATTTAACAGAAACATTACACTGAAAATATATTACCAGAGGGAGACTTTGTATAAAAGTCGATTGCTTGGGTACCTCTGTCCCATTCGTGTTTCAACCGTGAAGCAGTTGTGTTTGCATGGCTGTGTTTCGGTTTGAAGGGTGGGATATGGCGGGAATTTACTGGGTACAGAGGAATAACATCTGAGTCCTTAGGAATGGCAACGCATGGGGGGTATCATGGGCGAAACAGTATACTTTGTTATGTCCATGGTACTGCTCATGTCTATAGGCGACGGTTACCACTTTCCATCAGGTAGGCCGTCAGCTTGTTTGCCATTCTAAGTCGTATAAAAAAAAATAAGACTCGAAATCCTGTGTCTAAAAACACTATTTTAGCTACAGACAAAAATGGCAGCTTTAATTGTCACAAAGTTAACATGCCAGGAATATAAGAGTAAATACTTGTTGATTATAAAAACGTTAATTGCCTTTGTTTTTCAGCTGAATGTGCAATCCAAATAGCTCGTAGTATGCTTAAATATGTTTTTAAATGTTTAAATTTATTTTTTTTAAATAAAAAATGCCTTATATTAAGTTTACTTAAATAAAAAAATATATATATATACCATTATTTCCACTTTTCTTTCAATATAAAATACAGAGTCTGTTCTATAACAATGCCTTTGAAAAAAAAAATGCAACGCAATCGAGTATCTCCCCACCCTAAGGATGTCTTAAAAATGCTTTATATTTTTAGAAACCAACAAAAAAAACATAAAAACCCATTCATTAGCCGAGAGACTCGTAAACAAACGTAATTGTGAAGATAAAAATGATTCCCCCCCCCATTTTAAGAGTGGAAAAATTATGACAGCCCTAATTAAATCTGTGTACATTTACTTGCAGGGTGAAATTGAAATCGTTAGGGATTTTTTAAGTGAATATTTTATTTATTTATTTATGAAATTTTAATTATACCTAGCAAGTGTAAATAGCGTATTTAACACCATATGGCGTTATCCACAGTCGACCGTAGACAGGAATAACAGAAAATATAATTGACGGTATAACGTATATATATATATATATATATATATATATATATATATATATATATATATATATATAGATGTTACTGGAAAAGCTACGAGTACATTTGTTTGTTTGGTTTGGTGAAAGATACAAAAATGATCTTGTTTTTATAAAATCCTCACATCTACCAACTCACATTGGCAAATCCTAAGATTTCGTGGTAAAATTTAAGATTTAACAATGTGCGAGGTTTTACTGTAACATAAATTATTATATATTAATAAATAATATTGGATGAAAAACCATTCAGATACAAGGAAAACACCAGCGTTAGACAAAGCAAAGTGAACTTTATGTATTCTAGAGAGAGAGAGAGAGAGAGAGAGAGAGAGAGAGAGAGAGAGCGAGAGAGAGAGAGAGAGAGAGAGAGAGAGAGAGAGAGAGAGAGATAGAGAGAGAGAGAGAGAGAGAGCGAGAGAGAGAGAGAGAGAGAGAGAGAGCGAGAGAGAGAGAGAGAGAGAGAGAGAGAGAGAGAGAGAGAGAGAGAGAGAGAGAGAGAGAGAGAGAGAGAGAGAGAGAGAGAGAGAGAGAGAGAGAGAGAGAGAGAGAGAGAGAGAGAGAGAGAGAGAGAGAGAGAGAGAGAGAGCGAGAGAGAGAGAGAGAGAGAGCGAGAGAGAGAGAGAGAGAGAGAGAGAGAGAGAGAGAGAGAGCGAGAGAGAGAGAGAGAGAGAGAGCGAGAGAGAGAGAGAGAGTATACTTTATTTGGCAAGATCCCTTGAAGATGGTGAAATACTCTCGTTGTCCTTTTTGGAGCAAAACTTTTTTTATCTTACCCAGAACAACTAACAAACTGAAGATCCATGTGATAAAAAGTGATATCATTACTCATTGCAAAGTAGTACCTATTTGTAAACAAGATTTCAATCTAACGTGCCTATAAAACCATTTTGTTATTTATCAACTTATTTGTCATAACTTAAGTAACTGTATCTTTAGAAAATAAAGTGTTGGCTCAGAGGTGGTTATTAAATTATGTTAACGTTAAAGCACATTTTAGGGGTAATATTATAAAAGCCCGCAGTGTACGCGTTACCCCAAATTACGGGGTGGTTTGTAGGCCAATGCCTCGCCCTCTGTTTAAGAATCACAAAGAATGCCCTGTAAAGACGCCGTCTAAAGGTTCCAGCCGAGCGTGGCCTCACGCTTATTCATTTTCTCTAATGACGTGAACACAAGCCTAATTCTATTTTCGTGGAATACGAAACAATATTGATATCCTTTTTGTAACGCGCGATAAAAGCTTTAGTGAGTTCACAATGGGCTACTAAAATTGCTCGATTGATTCTTATATTGCAGGTGAGTTTTTACATTATGTGAAAAAGCATTTTATTATTATTATTTCTGCTGTTAACTGTGCACTGCTGAACATAAGCCTTTTCCATAAGTTCCCCATAAGGGAGTTTTGCCAGTAGTAGCCACGCTTGGCAGGCGGGTTGGCAACAACAGTTAGGCTTTAGAGATGTTTTAAGAGAGACGCTGCTGCCCTTTCCTCGCCCTCCCTTAGTCGCCTCTTACGACACCCACGGCAAAGGAAGGGGTGACCTATTGTATGCCCGGACATGCACGGCGAGAAAAAACATTATAAGCGTAAAAATATTTCTCCTTTTTGCTTATGTTAATCAGTATATCAAGTATACTACATTCTATTTTTTTTTGTACAACTTAGAACGACAAACAGCTTGTTTGCCATTCTAAGTTGTATACAAAAAAAAAATTTTAAATGTCATTAAACGAGCCAATTTAGCCATGAACACTGAGTGACAATCGTTGTGAATATCAAGTTCGGGCTTGGTTTTTACAATATCGTTATACGGACGCGTTATGCGGACGATAGGTGGTTCGCGGCCTAAGTTTGTTCCGCAAGCTGCATTTTTAAATAGATTGCAAAAAAAAAGCTGATAACTTTTAGTAGGCATTTTAATCTTATTTTAGAATTTTTCCGCATTATTAACATTTTATAAAAGTTCGTTGTCAAAGCGATTTTTAAATAATCAATCAAAAACTTTGAAAATCGTTTAATTGGTTTTGAAAATTGACAGACAACTCTGATGTTGCCCTACTTTAGTAAGTTTCAGTGTGAGTGCTCTTGAAGGCTTTCAGTCGAAATGAAAAATTTCTAAAGAAATATGGGTCGAAAAACGATAAAAAAATTTGAGCCAAACTTGTGTGGAATTGACGTGTTATATGCGGTTTTAATTTGCTTAAAAATGTACTTCCAATATGAATTTGCGGTCAATTATATTTAGATATTGAAGTTCGAAATTGAATTTGGACTTCACAGTTCGGCCATCAAAATTAATGTGCGTTTGATTAATATTATTGGTATTGCGTGAGCGTAAAATATTTTACTAAATCAAATGTAAATACTGTATTACTTTGTCTGTAATTTTTTTATGCAACTTAAAATGGCAAACAAGCTGATGGCCCATCTGATAGTTAGTGGTAAACATCGCCTATAGACATGAGCAGTGCCATGGACATAACAGAGTATACTGTTTCGCTCACGACACCCCCCATGCGTTGCCATTCCTGAGGACTCAGATATTATTCCTCTGTACCCTGTAAATTCACTGCCGTATCCCACCCTTCAAACTGACACAGCCATGCAAACACGACTGCTTTACGGTAGAAACACGAATGGAACAGAGGTGCCCAACCAAACGACTTTTATTAATATATCATCTAATGCAAGATAAACATTACCTTTTTTAATTTCATTTTTATTTTTTTTATATAATAAGATTTCGATCTTATGTCTAATGATATTAGTCATTGCTATAGTACAGAGGTATCGTGTTGTCATTGTATATCGTATACCGTGTATACTGTACCGGTATTTTTCTATTTTTTTATTCAACTAAACTTTAAGCATTTTTGAATAGTCATTTTAGTACGTACTTATGGTAAGTTAAAATCCTATCTTTATGAGAACCATAAACTTAGTATAACGTAATGGGAACAGAGCCATGATCAATAATGAGATGTCAATTGTTTGGTCACAATGATATTATCTAATCTGAATTTGACAATAAAATATGTTTTTCAACAGTATTTGTTTGTTTAATTTTGTTTATATTTGTTTAATTTTATTTAATTTTAGTATTGTCTAATTTTGTGTTTCGTTTACTTGTATTTTACTTTGTGCAAATTCTGGTGGCTACCAGATTACAATCTAAGTATATAATTATGTACTATTTTAGCTGTTTGTTTGCCTTAAATAAATAAATAAATTACGTAATGAATTTAAAATCTGTCGTAAGATTTGAAACAAATATACAGCGATAGCACACAAATAAAAAAGACCATTCGTTAATGCAATTTAAACTGTTTATTAGGCTACTCAAAATAATTTACTGAATGGGTTTTTTAAATATTTACAAATGTTCAAATGTAAATAAATGTGCAATTACATTTTATTGCCTCATTCACTACGGTACACGAGAAAATATTTTAAATTGGCAAGTATTTAAGAGCTTTAATACTTTCAGTCATTGAAATTTAAATACAATTTATTAATTCGTTGTTCAAAATAGTTTTTAAACTAAACGACGGAAATACAAGTTCTTTTTTTTCAATAGATGGTAATGGAATGGTGACCCCGCCTGCGCTATCGGTATACGCTGGCGAAGCACCAGTGAGGGGTGATATGTGAGGACGAAAAGGCGGATCCGTTAGCCCACAGTGATGAATACGTCTGGAATTCAGCACGATGGTTTCCAAGGAGGACCATAGGAAGGTCGACCTGATAGGGTATATTGCAATGGGATTGATAGTTCGCATTACTAACAATCCCTTTCCCCCATTACAAGTTACTAGCGATTCGTTCCAGTTTTGCACGAGTTGCTAGACAGATTTTTAAGTGCGAAGAATCGAGAATCGATAGGGAAGAAAGTTTCTTGTTTGGCGATCTTGTACAGTTAAACACAAGGCAGGATGACTCCCCACTAGATGGAGTGACGAATTCAAATTCATTGCAGGGAGTTAGTGGATGCAGGTGGCTCAGGACCGTTCCTTATGGCGGTCTATGGGGGAGGCCTATGTCCAGCAGTGGACAGATAACGGCTGAAATGATAATGATAATGATTGATTTTTAAATAAAGTCACAGCCCATGTTACTCGCTGATAACGTCCTTTTTTTTGGGTGAAAGAATTTTTAAAATCGGGTAAGTATTTATTTAGTTTATTCATTATAAACAAAAAAAAAAAAAAACAAATCTTTACTCTTTATGATATGACTCTTTTTTATGCAAATTTGAATAGCAAACAAGCTGACGGCCCACCTGATGGAACGTGGTAACCGTCGCCTATAGACATGAGCAGTACCATGGACATAACAGAGTATACTATTTCGCTCATAATACTCCCATGCGTTGTCATTCCTGAGGACTCTGGTGTTATTCCTTTGTACTCTGTAAATTCACTGCCATATCCCACCCTTTAAACCGAAACACAGCTATACAAACACAACTGCTTTACGGTAGAAACACGAATGGGACAGAGGTGGCCAAGCAAACGACTTTTGTACAAAGTCTCCCTCTGTTATGATCCCTCTTCCACTTAAATGACGTAATATTATATTTCTTAAATGGAAACTTGTAATGGGTATCTAAAGCAATTATAACTGTGATAGTTATCTTGAGAAACTATTGATTTCATATCAAAGTTACAATTCTCTGCCGAGTTTAGGGAGCAAAGTTTCCCGATTTGCCTCCGGTGTGAATGTTCAGCATTTCAAAGTGTTTAACCCTAAACGTTCACTGCCTGTGTTCTGGTTTGTACACGAAGATCTTGTTTACAATTAGATCTGGTTTCTACAGGATGATATGAATGTAAAAGTAGAGAACGTACCTTTAGGTTTAAAAGTTAGCTCACCAGCGCACAAATAGCATTCATACGTTACTTTTAAAGTGATTTCCAAAAGGAGGATTCAATTTGTATAATTTTCAATTGTATTAAAAAAAAATTTGGTGTTTTATTGTTTCCGTCTACTCTAACGGAAGGCAGGCGTGACAGATATGTATGTATGTACGTACGTTCGTATGTATGTATGTATGTGTGACATGACATCAAATACATATGTATGTTATAAAAAACAGGTTTCAATTTGTCTGCGACATGACATAAATTTGTTGTATTACTATGACATTCAAATACAAATTTTTGTTTATGAATAAATAAAATTAAAAAAAAAATATTCACTTACACATTTCATGGATATATATAATAAGTAGGCTTTTGATGATCCCTGATGATCGAAATAAATGATTTTATTGTTAGCAGTTGTATTTTTTTATGTTTTTGCCTCATAATTCGTGATATGTGATCTCGTGATATGAAGGTTGTTTATAGTAAAATAGTTCCTTGATGGAAAACTTCAATGTGATTGTATGAATCGATGGAACCTCACCAGCAATAGTATACGCGACCACCAGCACAACGATTCCTACGTTGCTGAATAGAAAGGCGAGCAGGTGCCTGATGTAGCCCCGGATTCGGGACGCGAGGGGGCGCCTCCGACGCGGCATTGTCACGGCATCGTCAGGTCACCGTGGCGGACGCCAGGTCCGCCGTCGTGCGCTCATCAAACTTTGTGGGTTTGGAGTCATAGTAGAAAAACTGGCGAGGACCTGGAACAAAGAGGAATGTTACGTGGCAACTAATGGCAAAACCTCTCTTTATAATGAGGTCCATGATGATATAATAATAAATAATAAAATGGAATAGTGCTCAAGAGCTCATATCAAGTTGGAAAACTTGAAACCTCATACAAAGCCACCCAACTATTGCTACTACGTAGTGATGTAGGCTATATCATCCTTTTGCGAGGAGATAATCATCACCGATGTGCAGTTATTGTCATGTAATCCTGGCATAGAATAGGTCACCACTTCCTTTCCCGTGGCTGTTGTAAGCGACTAAGGGAGGCCGAGAGATGGGTAGCAGCGTCCTTTTTAAAATATTTCTAAAGTTTAACTGCGGTTGCCAATCCGCCTGCCAAGCGTTGCGACTACTGCCAAAATCCCCCAAGAGGGAGACATGTTCGGCAGTGGACAATTAAAGTCGAAAATTAAATAATTAAAATTTAAATTAATCATTAATTATGATGACGAATGTGCAGTTATAGAAGTGAAATATTATTCAAGTTGCTTAGTGGGTAATCGAGAAATTTTCAAAAATTAAATCGAACTTAATAATTTTAAATTTATAAGTATTCAATAAGAAAGGCTTTTTGAGAGATTGAATATTTTGGGGAGATACTTTTGGGGGCTTATAATACTTTGTGAAATTATAGGCACTTGATCACAAAAGACATTTGATGTTTTATGAAAATTATCAGAGATTTTTTTTCCACCTAGAAGTTTCGATGGACTTCATTGTCAATGTACCAGAGGGAGAGTTTGTACAAAAGTCGTTTGCTTGGGTACCTCTGTTTCATTCGTGTTTCAACCGTAAATCAGTTGTGTTGGCATGGCTGTGTTTCGGTTTGAAGGGTGGGATATGGCGTGAATTTACAGGGTACAGAGGAATAACACCTGAGTCCTCAGGAATGGCAATGCATGGGAGGGTATCACGGGCGAAATAGTATACCCTGTTACGTTCATGATACTGTCATGTCTATAGACGACGGTTACCACTTTCCATCAGGTGAGCCGTTAGCTTGTTTGCCATTCTAAGTTATAAAAAAAATGTCATCTAAGTGTTTGATGTTTGGGGAGGTGCATCGTATACTTTTTGCTGTATTCTATATAGACGAATGTTATAAAAATAAAACGAGTCACCCTGCAATGAAAGGCGACACAAAATATAAACAGATAAATCCAGTCACCAGAGGGAGACTTTGAACAAAACTGGTCTGCATGAGTAATTCTCTCACAGCTGTGGTTCTACTGTGAAGCAGTTACGCTTGCATGGCTGTGTTTTGGTTTGAAGGGTGGGATATAACAGTAAAATTACAGGGTACAGAGGCGTAACACTATAGTTCTCAGGAATGGCAACGCGTGAGAGGTACCATGAAAGTCACACTGTATTCTGTGACGCCCATAGTCTTGCTCATAACTATAGGCGACAGTTACTGTTTTCTATTAGGTGAACCATCAGCTTATTTGTTATTCTAAGTGTTATAAAAAAAATCCAGAGATAGTTTCAAACGGACATGAAATTATAAGAGATTTTTTCTTATTCTTTATTTTCTTTACTTTGGAAACACATCTCTATGGCATAGCGATTGAAGGGATATAAGGTAAAGAATGTTTATTTTACGCCGATTGAAAGAACCGACGGACGTGAGATGTTGAACAAACGTATGAGTATGTACTTAGAACGTTCCTCGCAGCATTCCAATGATACTTGAATAACTGTCACTGGTAATTCTAGCACAAACATTTGCTGAAAACATATTGCAAATGTTAAACTGACAGACAAATTGCTGTATTCTATTTCATCTCCGATGTATAAAAAAGCAGATTAAAAGTTTGATTGTGTAGATATCTCTGAATGCATCAAAAATTGTTTATTGTATGCTTCAAAATAAAGAGGAAATATCATTCTGATCTCAGCTATAATCCGTCCATTGCTGGATATAGGCGTCCTCCATAAATTGTCATAAGAAACGGTCCTGAGCCACCTGCATCCACTGACTCCCTGCAGTGCATTTAAGGTTATCATTCCCTTTAGCGGAGGGTCGTCCTACATTGCTTTTACCCATCCGGAGTCGTCACTCGAGAACGTTTCTTCCCTATCGGTTGTTGGTTCTTCGATCTATATGCCCAGCTCATTGCCATTTCAGCTTGTTTATTCTTCGTGTTATGTCGGTTACTTTGGTTCTTTTGCGGATATCCTCGTTTCGGATTCTATTAGGCAAGGAAACTCCGAGCATAGCCTACTTCATAGCTCGCTGAGTAATTTGTAGCTTTTGCATACCGGCAATTGTGTAGGAGCATGTTTTGGGTTCATAAATCATCACATATTCCCAGTATAGGTAAAATCTGCTGTTAATAAATTCATTACTAGATGCAAGATAAAGAGGTAACAATGAGTGACCATATCATGAAACAGTGATCTCTTACAGGTAACTTTAAGACAGAAATTCTTATCTGATTAGGGCCAAATGGTATGAGTATAGAGGCAAACGCATGGAGTTATTAGCTCGGCCAATATCAGGCTTAGCAATATTGTTAGCAACTGAGTCAATGAGGTTTTTTAAATATTACATGTTTCTTATTCGCGTAAAGATTAATAAGGGAATCAAACATCATATACTTTTATTATTTCTCTCCAACTTAAGGTTGTCTGGATGAGGTCGCAATTTAGCGATAAGGCCACCTATTGTTGTATCTTTACCTGACTTAATTAATTTTTCGTAATTAAAGTTTTTTTTTGTGTAAATATTGTTAAAGTAATATGTAATTTGTGTTTTTGAGGGGAACAATAAAGAATTTGCATGTTTTTATATACCAGTGCAAATGAAGGGATATACGAAGAAAAATACTGTAAGGCCAGTATAGTTGTTATCATTTTAAAATCATTCTACAATAGGGAGAAATTGATAGTCACAGATTAATAGGTACTTATATTAAGTATGGTATGTATTATGTATTGTTTTTTTACATACAAAATTGCATTTTTATATTTTTTTACTATCATTTTACCACTTCGTATGGGCAGATTTAAGAAGTAGAAAATGCAATGTAATGAATCACTTTTAGATACTCTATTGAGATAAAACACACACCAGATTTTAAATTAGACCTTCAGTCAATATAACTGTAACAATACAACTGAAAACTGCATCCAACTTGGTGTTTTTACGTGACGCCGGAACAATACAGACAGACAGTCAGAGAAAATTTCAAAAAAATATTACTTTGCCTTCTATTGCTGCATTAAGATCTTTTAAATCGATTTTTCCTTAACTATCACTTCGTATAGTTAGAATTTTATTATATTTGTAAGATATATGTTTTACATGGCAGCTTTTCTTCCAATAATAATTTCATTAAATATTTAAAAATTAAGCAGCATTAAAAAAAAAAACAATTTGTTTAAAAAAAAGTAAAAAAATATAAGTTAGAAGATTTTAAGCCGTATTATTTTAAGAGGAACTTCGCAGCCGCCATGTTTGTTTTTGTGTTTAATCATTACCCATCAACGAGAAGTCATCACAGATAATTATTAAGATAAATAGCATCACGACGTTTATTTGGCATTAGTTCACGTGTCGGCACTGTTGGAACGCTGTCGACTCTGTCGCCGATACAAATGCTTCATGTTTAGATTTCAGAGAGCGTGTTGCAATTTATCTGATTTTCATTTATAGTTCGCAAGCATTTTTACAAATAATATTAAGTGCTACATGATTATGTATTAATCACCTGCTTCTCGAGTTTTTTTTTTTCTGATGGGTGAAAATAGAATGGTAACCCCGCCCGCGCTAACGGGATACGCTGGCGGAGCACCAGTAAAGGGTGACAGATGAGAATGAATACAGGCCAGTTAGCCCATCATGACGAATTCACAAGGAATTATTAGGAAGGAAGGAATGATAGTTTCCAGGGAGAACCGCGAGGAGGTCGACCTGGCGGGATATATTGCAATGGAATTCTTAGTCTCCATCACTAACAATCCCTTTTCCCCTTGCACTTCAAGTTAGGATACGTTGTGGTATTGTTTTTTTAATGGGCGATAATGGAATGGTAGCCCCGCCTGCGCTATCGGTATACGCTGGCGGGGCATCAGTGAAGGATGGTAGGATGAAGTTAGGTGAATTGTTATATTGTGACGAATTCAACAAGAATTATACACGATGGCTTCCTGGGCGGAACTGCGAGAGGTCGATATGTTTGCCTGAGATATCTACCTCTACGCGGTTCTACATGTTTGTTTTATGCAACTTTAGAACGCCAAACAAGCAGACGGCTCACCAGATGAAAAGTCTAAAGAGGGAAAAAGGTATTGCTAATAATGGGGATTAGTAGCCGCATTGCTAGTAATATACCCTGCCAGGTCGACCTCCTCGCGGTCTTCCTGGAAAGCATCGTATGCTATTCTAAGAAAATTCATTACGATGGGTGTACTAACCTGTCTTTTCATTCTCACCTATCATCCTCACTGGTGCCCCGCCTGTGTATACCGTTAGCGCAGCCAAGGTTATCATTTCATTATCATCCAATAAAAAAAAAAAAAACCATCGCCTATAGCCATGAACAGTGCCATGAACATAATGGGATTAATGTACCTATTACTAACGATTCCTCTTTCTTCATCCTATAGTAGGATATCTGTTAGGAACCTGCCTAAAATAAAAATATCGCATGTGCGGTGACAGATTGTTCAAACTGCGTTTGACTTTAATTTGAAAATATTAAGATAAAATCCTTGTCTAAATTAGTCTAAGCTAGTAAACACTTCGTAATAAAATTTACTGCATATTCGAAAAATAATACCCGTTTAAAATAATGAAAGGCCAATGAATAAATATTTGTTAATTCAAGAATTTCAGCAAATTGTTTGTTTACTCTATCTACACTGATTACAGTTTACGATGGGGATATTAGCAAAAATTCAAACGGCTTTCTCGATAAGATATCGTTTATTCAGATTTATTTGTAGTTTTGTTTTATGCGTTTCG